GGGGGGGGGGGGGGGGGGGGGGGGGGGGGGGGGCGTGGCTAGCGCGAATGACAGCCCGGATGCCGGCTTGGAGGTGAAGACGAAGGCAAAGGCAGGGAGGGGGGCTAGGGCTATGTGTTGTAAGAGCCAAGTCTGAAGAGTGCACGTTTCGCAGATCTCTGAACCCTCGAAGCATATGAAGCTGCGCGTACCTACTTCGGCAATCTGGTGAACTTTCCCCCCCCGTAGCGCATCGTCGAGCGCAGAATATATGCATCACGTACGCGTCGATCACGAGCTTGTTGTGGGTGTGCGGTTAGGAGATTGCCGAACGCGCAAGATCGGCTTCCCCACGATGCAAGGCGGGCGCAACAGGTCGTCGCACTTGCGGCCATACACGGCATACCATACAGCACCCCACACTCGAAGAAGTCAAGCAAGCGCCTTGCCCCGCCCACAATTCTTCGATGGCAGCGCTCTGATGATGAGATGGATGCATGGTCGGTCAGTGCATACATGCGCAGCTGAGCATGTGTCCAGCAAGCTTCGACTTCACTTCAGCACACCGCATCTGCTCACGAGATGGGAGACTCGAGGGTCAGGAGGCGGAGTCAGGAGTCATCGTGCAGTGTGAAAATGAATGAATGCGTTTACCCCACAATCTGGATGGATGAGCAGGCTTGACGGACTGGCTGGCTGTGCTGCAATGACGAGTGTGTGCTCGCTGCTCGCCACCCTTTCCCTTCCTTTCCATACCATCACAAATCGCGGAATCATCAAATTCGGACATCTCTCTTTTCTCTTTCTCTCTTCGGGCATCCGATCTCAAGCGCCAAGCCAGAGCTCTCCTGCATCGCATCAGGGCAGCTAGCTAGGATCGAGAAGGTCGATCGGAGCATTGCTCTTTCGGAGGGGTTTTCCACAAATCGATCCATTTCGCCTTGCGGTCCGGTGCTCCATGTCTACACAAGCGCGAGGAGTCTGTCCGTCTACGCAAAGGGTCATCGCTCCCGATCACTCATTCGCTGCGAGTGCCGTGCTTATAAGAGGAGCGAGGATCGTGATATTGTGTCGGCACATCCTCCCCTCTCGTATGCATGGGCCCAAACCCTCTTCACACGACCTCTTCCCATTCCTCTCTGCTCTCACACAACCATGTTATCCTTCCGTCAAGCAAAAACGACGACGCTCTTTGCGACGCTCCTCTCCACCCTCCTCTTGGCATTGACCCTTCACAATGCTCACGCTTCGCCCACCGCTCATCTCAACAAGAGAGCCATCGACACCAACGCGGTAGTCGCCCGTCGTTTCGGCAACGATTCGGCATGGTACAAGGAGCGCATCCCCTTTTTCGAGAGCAGCGATGCCAAGCTGGACGAGGTGAGTCGAGAGCGAGGGAGCGATCGATCGATCGAGGCGTGGTTCTTGATGAAGTGCAAGAAAAACGCATCTGATTGCCGATTCCAACCCCGTCTCGTGTCGATTTGAATGCCCGCCTCGCGCAAGATCTTCTACTACCGACTCTCCCTCCTTCGTAGTCATCAACGCAATCTAGGCTCTCAACATGGCTACGTCACTACCGAATTCCTAAACGACGTTTCTTGGGCCTTGGCACCATGGGGCACCCTCAACGACGCCACGGGCCATCACATCAACGAAGCTCGATGGTTGTGGGACAAGACGTACGCCAAGGACTACATCAACTTCATGCTCACCACCGGTGGAGATCGGCACTTTTCCGATCACATTTCCGACTCGGCTTGGGCCATCGGTCTGGTCACTGGCGATTTCAACGCTCAGTTGCCCAGATTGGACGATATGATCAGACTGTACAATGCTTGGAACGATCATTACGATACGAGCAAGGGATTGTACTACATTGAACCGCTGTACGATGCTACAGAGTACACCATCGCAAGCATCGACGCTAGCGGCGGCAAGGACGGCTTCGGCGGCGGCACATCCTTTAGACCTAGCATTAGTGAGTAGTCTGCTTCAGTATCGCGCAACAATGTGGCGTCTGACCCCCTTCCATCGACCATGATGCTCCCTGTCTCGCGCTCTGCGACCAGACTCTTATATGTACGCATCCGCCCGAGCCATTTCCAACTTTGCCAAGCTTGCAGGTCGGAATGATGTGGTAGCTGATTTCGACAAGCGAGCTTCGGATCTCAAGACCCGAATTCAAGCTGATCTCTGGGACGACAAGATGGTAGCTTTCCGTGATCGTTTCCAAGTGACGAATCAGTACGTCAAGTATTGGGATCCCATTCGAGGACCAGGAGAGCTGGTGGGTTTCCTACCTTGGACCTTTGACGTGGCGGATGATGATGCCAAGTACGCCGCCAGTTGGAAGGCTATCCTCGATCCCAATAGGCTGGGCGGCAAGTACGGAATCCGAACGGTGGAGCCGGCTTACCAGTACTACATGAAGCAGTACAGGTACGACCAGCCTACGGGTAAACGCGAATGTCAATGGAACGGTCCTTCATGGCCTTATCAGACTACGCAGGCGTTGAAGGGTATGGCCAATCTGCTGGACCACTACAAGAACAAGGACGCGGTCACGAATGCCGATTACAAGCGTCTCTTGTCACAGTACGTCGACCAGCACTACAATCCCGACACTGCGCGACCGGACATCCAAGAGGATTACGACCCAGACACGGGCAAGTACATTGTCGGCCTGGACAGATCTCACGATTACTTTCATTCTGGATTTGTAGACTTGGTGCTTAGCGGTCTGGTGGGCGTCAAGCCTCGACAGGATGCGACGTTGGAAGTGAACCCTCTGAATCCAGCATCGAGTCAAGGAGGACTAAAGTATTTCCGAGCAGAGAGGATCCCTTACCACGGACACAGCTTGACGGTGCAATGGGACGAGGATGGCGCTCATTACGGTAACAAGGGATTGCTTGTGGAGGTCGATGGAAAGAGTGTAGGATCTAGAGCAGATGCGGGTCGATTGACCGTCCCGCTGCCATCCAGCAAGACCAGCTCTGCCACCTTCGACTCTTCTCGATCCCCATTGTCTCTGCGTCTAGCTACCAACAGCGCTTGGCCCAAAGTCAGCACCAGCTCCAATGGCGTCGCCGGACCGGGCTTTGTAGGCGATGCGGCTTACAACCAGTACCAAGCAGTGGGCGGACGGGAAATCGCCTTCTTTGGAGCTTCGGACAATGCGTGGACGAGCACATCCAGCGCCTCCTCGACGCAAGAATTCTTCTCCATCGAATTCGAAAACGCTTCCACATCCATCCGATCTGCTCAGCTCTTTTTCCAAGCTGGAAAAGGCGTCAATGGGGACAAGATCGCGTACGCTTTGCCAATTAGCGGTAGCGCCAAATTGCAAAGCTCGACGGATGGAAAGAGTTGGACGGATATTCGAAGCAATGCCTTTACGCTCGTCGCCAACGGACCGACCGATATCCAATTCAACGCTCCCCTCACTACCAAATTTGTCAGGCTTGTCGCGCAAAGGCCTGCGAATGCTGCGCTGGCTCTTGCCCGCTTCAACGTGTACTGATCTTTCCCTCGCCCAGTTGGTTCAATCAATGGCGTGCTTCTTCTCCTCCACTGCTCCACTGGCGCTACCGAGCGCATTGTTTTGGTAATGCAAAAGGATTGATATTGTGATTTTCACCACACATGAATGACCTGAATGATGTCAAAAGACACAGAGTCAACTTTCACGTGACTCGACTGAGATTCAAATTCTCATTCAAATCAACAATTCGATTCACGATTTTTGATTGTTTATGGAGTTTCCCGCGTCGTGCGTCCATATTATACAATAGACGGTACCATGCAGTGCCGCCTCTCTCTCGCATGCTCGGAAAGCTTTGCAGTCATGAGTCGTGAGTCTGGGTCACACAAATTGTGTGCGCGCCAAAAGTCGCTCGGATGATTTGTGCATGCTGCTGCTGCATGAATTCAGGCTCTGCTCGCATGCAGGACCCGTCTTCCGATCTGCTGCATGGTTAAGGCTTCAATTTGTATTCACATCGTCGCGCACATCTGCCCCTCCGGTATGGTTGCATATTTGGTGCGATGATCTTGAATACGCGCGCGCGGTTGATGGGCTTCTTAATTTCGCGCGATGCCCATGCATACCGCGGTATAGGTACACACGCGGCGCGGTGCATGTCTCTTCGCTCCATCATCTGCGTGAAACTGCATGCTGCTGCTGCCGATCCACCCGCCGCGCCCGCGCACGCGCGTGACGAGACTGCTGATGAGACTCGGGGCAAAATTTGATCGCTCAACGCTGACTGGTGGCCTGGCCTAGCCTGGCCGCGCGAGCTTTCTCACATGCAGCTGCTGCTGCTGCACTGGTGACTCTCGTTTCGTCTGAGACTCGTGATTGTCTATCATCGCGCCATGCTTCTGACCATCGCAGATCGCGAATTCTGCCTGACCCGCTCGTCGCAGCTGCTCCTAGACTCCTCTCGCCCTCACAGTCGGCGGCAGCTCGATCAGAATCGCCTCTTCTGCTCTCCGCGCTTCGTGCCGCGCCTCAACCAGCCCTTCGACCAACAAAGCCGATGAGACTTTGAACCACGCTCAGCTGCTTCTTCCCAGCCGACCATCGACAGTCCGAAGGGCTTCTTTGCTTTCGCCCCACTCGATATTTTTTCCACTTCCTCGACTGAAACATACCCGACCTCCTGCGCAACACAGTCTCGTCGCTCACGCACCGCGATCGCAGCCATGCTAGAGACATCGCGCAGCTCCACTCCGGCTCAAGGCGGTCGCTCCGCCTCTGCACGAGGCACGCCAGAAGCGAGTGGCCGCAGCTCCAGCGGCCTTCACACCAGAGAGTCTTCGGGCAGAGATAGAAGTGCGAGCAGGAGCAGGGACAGCAGCGCGAACAACGCTGCTGCTGCGCATACACCCGGTTCCAACATGGCAAACTTCAACATTGACTCGTTCGACTTTGGCGCAGACTTTTCCCTTCCATCGGGACTGGATGATCTCAACATCTATCATCATGGTGCGGCTGCTGGCAGCGTCACCCACTCTGCGCCCGGAAGTATCACTGGCGCGCCCAGTCCAGCAGCTGGCAGCAGCAGTGGTAAAGGAGGTGCAGCCGGCGGTGGTGGTGGAAGCGGCAGCAGGCATGGAAGTCCGAGATCAGCTCACGTCAGTGCGGCCAACTTGGCTGGAGGTACGGCCAGCAGTTCTACCGCAGCTGGTTCGCCCCTAGCCAATCTCCTTCTCAGCATGAACGGGACGGAGGGCAACAGTGCTGCGCAGTTGCTCGGCTTGAATTCCAACCACCTCTCGCACCTCGATGCCCGCTCTCAAAGCCAACCGCAGGATCGCCAACTAAGCATAAGCGATCTTCAGCGCATACTGGCCGAGAAGGAGCACGCTGAGCGGCTTCAGAATCTGCAGACCGCCGTGCTGAGACAGCATTTGGAGGCTTTGCAACGTCAGACTGAGGGTCGTGGTGGAGACAACCAGCAGCAGAGGGGCAACCAGCCGCAGCAGCAAAATGGTGGACTTTCGGTCAATACAAATGCATTCGCCTTGCAGCAGCTGCAGCAACAGCAACAGCAGCACCTGCTGGCCATGGCAGCTCAAGCTTCGCAAGGTATCACGCCCACACAGTCGAATGCTCAGAGCCCCTTCGTCTCGCCCTTTAGCTCGACTTCGCCTCACTCGCAGATCGGCAATCCTTTCATGACAGGACAGCCACTGGCTCAAAATGGTGGCATGAGCTCGTCTGGTGCAGCTACGAGCTCGGCGATGGCGCAGTATGGCCTGCTGACGCCCATGAATTCGGGTGCTTTCAATTCGTCGTCGCAAGCACACATGCCCTTTGTGAGTAGAGGCCGAGTGGATTTGTTCCCATCGCTTCTCCGCTGATGCAAGCCTTGCGCGTGACTCGCAGACCAATGGAAGCTTCACACCTCTGGAATCGCCAGCAATCACCCCAGCGAGCGTCTTCTCCAACGCTTCTACGGCTACCACGACTGCAGACTTTTTCTCTCCCCTCACATCACCTGCGCTGAGGCCACAAATCCCCACGAGTGATTTGATGCTTCCACCCTCGGCATCGAGTGCAGCAGCGAGGCTACATGCAGCTAGCACTTCGCCCGCATTTGGGCCTCAGCGAACAGGTGCACCTCCTAGTGCGAGCCCATTGGCGCTCATGGGCCACTCCAAGCCGCTGCCCAGAAAGAACAGGAGCACAACGGCTGAAGCCCGCGCGAACAAGATGCGTCCCAGTCCGCTCGTCAAGCCCACTGCACCCGCGCGGAGCGGTCGATCGAGGGGCGATTCTGCTGCATCCTCGGGACTCACTAGTCCTGCGACTGCTACTCCTGGCGAAGGTCATTCCCGATCTCGCTCGGGCAGTCAGAACCGTTCGACGATCAGCAGCAGTGCAGCTTCGAGCAATAGCGCTCCTGCCCCTTCCTCCACCAACACGTCCGCTTTGCCCTCTTTCACTCCCGTCATGGCCGGATCTGGCAAGTCGCTGGATGCCAGCCCGAGCGAAGGCGCTGCTAGCACGCCAAGTCCGATCGATCTGAGTGCGAGCAGCATGCCGCCCCCTCCTGCGCCTTCCAGCAGCAAGCCCTTGACGCCAGGCAGCATCATGGGCATCGCTCCGAAGAGCGGCACCGGAAATGGCAATGGCCTCGGCGGTGCGAGCTCGAGCTCCAGTTCAAAGGCAAAGCAGAAGGTTGCAGTGTCAGACGCCAAAGCGGTCACTTTTGCGGAGGGAGCAGATTCCAACGATGGTAGTCCCGTGACGGGCAGCAACGGCAATGCTGCCCAGCCCAACAATGGCGGTGTTGGTGGCGCTTTGAGCGCGCTGAGAAACATTGCGCCAGGGCATTTGTCTGCTGCTGAAAAGGAGGAATGGATGGTGCACAAGGCCGCGGGTGGAGGAGCGCTGGATTCTCGAAGGACATCTCACAAGGCAGCCGAGCAGAAGAGGAGAGACTCGTTGAAGTACTGCTTTGATGAGCTCAGAGGAATGTTGCCCGCCATTACGCTGGACGATGATGCGCCTGGCGGATCCTACCTGGGCTCGGATGGTAGGGCGGAGGACATTGAGATTGAAAGGTTCGATCCTGCGGAATTGTGCGATGGAGAGGCGTCCAGACTGGCCAATCGAGCCATTAGCAAGGTGGCTCTGCTGCGCCACTCGAACGAGTATCTGGTCCGCATCGCTTCCAGATTGGTGCGAAGGGACAAGGCGCTATTGGACGCTCGTGCAGAGATAGTTCAGCTCAGATCCGCACTGGGTCTGCCTCCCAGTCCCTCTTGCCAATTCATCTCCCCTCCACCGATAGGTTATTTGGGAGGCATGGGCCATCAACTTCATGCGCAGTACGGATTGGAAATGGTGCCCGGTGCGCATCAGCTTCACTTGCATCAACATCCACATCAGCACCCATCGCAGCAGCAGTCGACTGCTGCACAGCAGGATGGTCAACAGTCGCACGCAATGGACCTGGACATGGACATTTCCGCCGCTTGAAACTTTTCCCTCACTTGACTTGCCCCCACTCGGGGTAGAAGCGTCGGACGTGACGTCCCCCGAACACCTTTTTTCGGGAAACAGCGAGCTAGCTAGCGAAGCTCAAGTTTCGGGGATGCGACCGCGTCAGCCAGCCCCCCTTTTGCGAACCCCAATTCGACTGCTCCCCCCCCGTTTTCCCGGGTTTCCCTCGCCGAGATTCACGTTACCGCGCGTCCGCCCGCCCGCCCGCACCTTTCCACCTCTTTTTCTTATGCTGGACCTCCCACAATTGTACGACTTTAAAGGGTTTCCCACCACCTCCGCTGAGGAACATGACGCTATACTATAATTTGCAGAAGAGAGAAAAAAAAAAAACGGGGCGACGGTGAATGAGAAACACGTCACAGGTGGATGACTCGCGCGTTTTCCGAACTCGTGACTTGACTGTTTCTCTTTGTGGTTTCGCAAGCAAGGCAAGAAGCGTAAAGGGGCTGGCTGGGCTCCAGACAGACGTGTTTGCATTTCGCATACGCACAATGTGGCCCGCGCTCTCTCTCTCTCTCTTTCAGAGGGCGTGGACTGCAATAAATGTATGATGGGGAGAGCGAAGAAGCAAGCATGGGGAAAGTGACTTTGGAGGCTGGGGGTCATCCTAAGGGGAGGAGACGAGCGGCATGATTGGAAAAGGAGGCGCGTCGCGTGAGAAGATGGAGCAGCAGTGATGCGCAGAGCAAACGTAAAGACCGGGGCGGGGTGCGAGGGTTTCCATTTGCGTTGCGTTGGCTTGAAATATGCGCAGAGTGGGCAACGAGAGAAGAAGGGGGGGTGTACGCGGGTGCAGGTCCGAGTCCGGATCGGAATTGTGCGGGGGGAGGGGGCGGGTAAGCGCTTCCGCAAGGTTCGATCAAAGGGTTCGTCTGGGCTCCCCAGTGATCTGCACTCGAAGGGCTACATGGACATGCTTCGAAGTCTGCTGCCGCCCAACGTAGGCTCCGCATGCTCATACGCGAGTGGTAGACCAGGCGCCGCACCAGTGTGTCCAGCAGCAGCAGCAGCAGCAGAAGCTCTTTCCGCAGCGATCACTTTGCTCTCCGTGATTTGAGTCTTGGCGTCAAAGGGTTTGGGACTCTTGAACGTGTAGCCAACAAAAGCCAACTGCTTTCTCATTTCCAAAAGTCGATCTCCCTCTGCCTTGTCTCTCAGCATCGGATCTCGCGGCTGTTCGAGCGGCACGGGTTGACCATTCTTGGCAGCTTCGGCAGCGCCGGGCGCAGCCAGCGGTTCGTCCTCTATGCCCTCTTCAAAGTTGCGCGTGTCTGCAGGATGGGCCAGCTTGGGGTCAAAGGGCGTCCGCTGCGAATGGATGGAGGAGAAATCGACGTTTCTGAACCACGGGTGGGACATGAGATCCTCCACGCCATCCGCAAGTCCAGGCACACTGCTCGCTCCACCATGGTTCGTCGCCGCAAACCCGCTTCGCTGCTGTCGAGAGCCTTGCAGCAACGAATTGGGTCGACTGACAGATGCGGTGGACTGCGAACCTAGCCTATCGTCCTTTTCGCAGATTAATCTCATGATAAAGTCTTGAGCATCCTTCGACACCCTGGGCTTCGGTGGAAATTTGAGCGTTTGTCGCCAATTCAAAATCTTTTGCCTCGTCAGGTGACGCGACTTGGACACGAAAGGCGGGTAGCCGTACAGCATCTCGAACACAATGACTCCTAGCGACCACCAGTCGCACGACTGATCATAGCCCAGACCCCGCAGCACCTCGGGCGCCATGTAGTTGTTGGTGCCGACGACAGAGTAAGCAATCTTTTTCTTCTGCTTGTCTCTCCACGTGAGCACGTGGGTCAATGGCGTACCGTCATTATTGCGATCGCTCATGACCTCGTTGAGCTCCTTGTCATCGAGCCCAGCTCCAGCCTGTCCGCGCTTGCCTGCGCCGGTGTTGCCGCCTCCATTCGCAGCTGCAACCTCGCGTGCGCGAGCCCGCGTCGCCGCACCAGCGCCGTTCTTGGTGTCGTCCAGGTCGATGCCGTGCTTGCGCAGCAAGTTCTTCCGCTGTTGGTCGTAGTACGCGCCATCGTGCGCCCAGTGAAAGCTTTGACAGAGGCCAAAGTCGGCGAGCTTGATGTGACCCCTCGAGGTGAAGAGGAAATTGTCGGGCTTGATGTCACGGTGTATGTAACCCAGCTTGTGCGCCTCGTGTATAGCAAGGATCATTTCGGCCACGTAGAATCGAGCAAAGTCTTCTTGGAAGATGTCCTTTTCGATGAGCAAGTTCAACAAGTCGCCTCCGCCCATGAACTCCCTGCGCGTCCGTTATTCGTCCCATCGTAAGCACAAAATGCTGAGAGACATGAATACAAAAAGGACGCCTACACCTTACTCACATGATCAAGTACAGATGATCAACGTCTTGAAAGCTGTACACCAGCTTGACGATCCACTTGGCGTTCGCGCCGCCACTGGCACTCGTCATGAGGTCGCGTTCAGCCCTCACGTGACCTTCTTGGCCTTTGCGCAGCATATCGGCTTTGCGTAATTGCTTCATCGCAAACAGCTCGCCCGTACCTCTTTCGCGCACCAGCGCGACGACACCAAAAGCTCCGTGACCGATCGTCTTGAGTTTGGCAAAGCTGTTGACATTGACGCGTGCGCGAATATCGCGCAAGTGCTCCGTCTCGTTGGCCAGCCACTTTGCGCGGATCAGGTCCTTGCTGGACTCTGGAATGCGCAGCGATGCCAAATCCGCTTCCAAGCCTGCGCGCCTCGTGTCGCGCGCTCGCGGCGTCTTCAAGATGCCGTAGTACAAATTTTCGAAGAAGATTTTCGCAGCGACGCTCTTTTCGATGGTCGTCAAGCTGGGTCGCAGAGCTGCGCCGGCTCGTAGGGCCATAGCATCCGTGAGCTGCGCATCACCAAGCACCGCCTTGCGCTGCTGGTGTTCGTAGTCCTGCTCGTTCTTAGCGGGACTGTTAGCGGCCGGAATGCCGTCGATCTCTCGCACAACCATAGACGTGGGGCGCGTCTCGAACAGAGCGCCAATAGCGCCCCGACCTCCAGATCCTGGCAGTCCATCGATGGCCTTGGGAGGCTGTAGACCCGCTGGAGCTTGCGCAGGTCGGAATTGAAGATAGTCCGGCGCATCTTGATCGACACTCGTCACGGGCGAAGCTACGAACATGGTTCCTCCCGTATTGGTTCTTGGCAGAGGCGGGGGAGTGGGGCGCACGGTTGGAGAAGGAGATGCGGGCGTGGTTGCTCGGCGTGCTTGAGGTGAAGGTGGAGCAGACGACCTGGGCTGCGCGATGACTTGATCCGGATAGGGCGCCGGTCTAGCCTCGCCGTCCGAGCCTCGAAGCTCCTCGGCGATGCCAGCAAATGGTCCGCGCGCTGTGCCCGTCACCCCGGATGTCGGCTGATCCGCAAGACCGGGGCTAGTCGCGCTGCCATAGCTGTGACCAGCTGTGGCCGTGGTGGTAGTGAGGGCGGAGGAAGCGTTGCTGGCTGTGCCATTGACGATGTGCAACTGCCTTGGTTGATCTCGAATGACCGACTCTTGGTGCAACGCGGCCTGGACTTGCGCGATCGCTTCAGCTTGGTTTCGGATCGCTTGTTGGCGCATGGCATTTTTGATGGGCTCGAACCAAGCTGGGTCTGAGGGTGCAGAGCGCAACGCGTCAGAGGGTCAATGTGCGACCTGCTTCGCCCAAGCTTTCTCCCAACTCACCCGCAATCTTGCCCATCCCATCCCGACCCCATCTGCGCAAGATTTCCTCTGCTTGCTCCGCATCGCTCGCGTGGGCCGCATGCACAAAGGTGCCAGCTTTTGGCGCTCCAATCATGTCCACGCTGATGCGCTTCTTCTGCGCTCTTGCAGCTGGTGTGCCTGGAGCGTCGTACGCGCCCGGTGAGAGAGCAGCACTCGTAGTGGATGGAAAGGCAGAGAGCGGAGATGCTCCGCGCATGAATACATCGGGAGATGCGCTTCGAGCTGCTCCCGAGCTTGGAGCTGGAGGCGGGCGCAGTCCTGCTCCTCCACCGCCGAGAAAAGGATCGTCGGACGATGAGTAGGGGCCAGAATTTTGCGCAGCCGAGGCTGCCGCAGCCGCGCCCCCATCGCCAGCTTTACCAGACATCTTGCGCAGTCCACCGGTTGCGCGCGACAGGGTTGCCTTGATGCGCGACGGGCTTCCAGGCGCTCCTGGTCCACTACCCAATCGTGAGGGCGCACCTCCAGGCGCGGGGGAATTGTTGACCAAAGAGAGAATGTCAAAGAAGCCCTTGTGCTGTCAAGTCACGCGTCCATCACGTAGGGTTAGCAAGCAAAATTACTCGCGTGCCGAGCAGTGCTGTGGATGCCGACGACGGTACTGGCCCACGTCCTGCTCACCATGAATGCACTGCCCCCTCTATTTGAGTTCTCAAAGGCGTCTGCTTGTCCAAATCCAGCATCATAGGGATTTGGGAGCCTGTTCGTCGGGAATGGCTGCATGCTGCTGTGCTTGTTCTTGCTCGCGGTGCCAAACCTCTTCTCTGGGGCGTACTGCTGATGTACCTGCTGCTGATTGAAGGCATACGAGGGTTGCGCGCCAGCTGGAAGGTTGTTCGAGTAGGTCGGCCCAGATGGACGAGATGTGGAAGCAGAGGCGGATGCAGATGGAAAGGGATACGCTTGGCCGCCAGATTGCCCTTGCGCGAATTGGTTTGCCTGCTGCGATCTCATGTAGGGCGATTGTTGATTGTACCAAGCAGATGGGCTCCTTGGTGGTGAGTTGGGAAGTCCAATGCCTCCTCCTCCTCCTCCGTACGCTTGCAGTCCTGGTTGCGGTGAGATGTAGGATGGTCGCATCCTCTCCTCGTGCTCATACCAGACTGCATCGTTGGATGAATGATAGGCGCCCCCGCCTCCCCCTGCGGGAGGGTGAGGCAGCGGTCGTGCTGCTGGACGTGCTGTCATGGCAATCGCGATGAAAGTCGCACTGCGCGTAGATGATCGTCGTCAAGATCGTGTGGTCGTGGTGGTAGTCGTTTGGCTGGGAGAGATCCCGAGAGAGGCAAGTATAAGCTGGAGGTGTCGGATGGATGAAGATCAGCGCTGACGACCTTTATGATCCTTCGACATTGCTGCACAGCCCAGACATGCGCCGGGTGTTGAAAGCACAGCACAGCACTCACCGCTCTTGTTGTTGCGCGCCGGGCCGACACGCCAGAAGGTAGCCCTGTCTCTGTCTCGAATAATGACAATGCGCTGACGTCGATTTGCAGAGGGGCAAGCCTTGCATGAGACAGGAGGGAAGCTTGCACGAGATTCGAGCCGCGAATCGACTCTGAGCAGGTGCTGAAGCCGTATGGACGAAGGTGAGGTCGAGTTGGACAGATGTCGAGGTTGATGCTAGCTGCGATGCGAAGCGAAGCGATATGCGATGCGATGAAAGGTGACCGATGATTGCAGCTATTACATCACGATGGGTGCGCGTGGTGAGTGTGGGTGAGTGAGTCGAAAGGGTGTTTCTCGGAATCAAGAACCACATCCTCGCGACGGCCAAGCGTCACGACGAGTGCTACATCTCATCAGACCTCACACGCACGACTCTCCGCAACGTGTGGCCGCCCACAACACAACGACTTTGACTGCAAAGCACCGACGTGACGCACATCACAGCAGCAGGCAGAGCACACGGGGGCTCAGGAGGTAGTCCATGCGCATGCATGCATGCAGGCCAGGCCAGGCAGGCGAGGGTGGTGCGCATGCATGCACTCTGACTCTGACTCTCAACATCACGCAACACTCGTGACTCGTGACCGAGTGACTGCTGTGACCCTTCGGCGGCATCAGCAGAGAGCAGCATGGCCAGCCGCCTGCTCTACCCAAGGTTGTACGGTGATGGAGCGAGCTCGTGTTTGATGAGTTGGTGCGGGTGAGGGTGCGGGTGCTGGGTGCGGGTGCTGGGTGCGGGTGCGGGTGCGAGCAGCATAAAGCTCATCCGTGCTACACGTACAGCAGGCATATAGCAAGCGCGCACGCACGCACGCAACGCACGCACGGTGGACCCCTGTCTTGCTTAGCTCGAATCTCCGCCGACACATGCTGCTGCTTGAGCTTGATTGCTTCATGAATCCGAATCGTGTCGTGCTGTCGTGCATGCTTTCCGGCTTCTCCACTCACAACTCACGCCGCTGGCATGGTCCAGTAGAGCAAGTAAGCAGAAGCGCGTCTCCTCTCATCAGTAAAATTCAAGACTCTTCTGACTGTCCTCCACGCACAGCACATCACCACACTCCGTGACTCCACGTGACTCGTGCGGTCATGGCACGGCGTGCTTCATCTGTCTTGCTTGCTTGCTTGCTTGCTTGCTTGCTTGCTTGCTTGCTTGCTTGCTTGCTTGCTTGCTTGCTTGCTTGCCTGCTGGCTGGCTGGCTTGCTCACGGCCTGATTTGCCCGATCACGGGTAAAGTGGCCCAAGCTCTCTCTCTCCCTCTTCTAATCAACAAGCAAGATCACGAATTGCGCATGCAGATTAGAAGCACACGTCGAAGTGGATTGAAAGCTGAAGGACCTTCATCTTCGAATATCAATCGAAGGTTTTGAAGTCCTGTGCAGAAAAGCAAAAACAACATCTCTTCTCGCGACCATTCAAGATTCTTGATTTGCTCAACTCACCTGTGCGATGACATGACCCATCGCGCCACTCCTTGGAATTATCAAGCCCTGTATAGTGACAAGGTGACCATCAGCGCTCCGTCCACGTGCAAGACTTGAGGTGGGCATAGCGAGATGACCCCTCACCGCCAACTTGGACCGAGATGAGATGATGTTCGCCCATTCGTGATTTACATTTGGTCATTATTTATTGTGATTATATATCAGCATTCGTGGAAGATTTTGATTCCCTCTCAGACAAATCCACGACTCACTCATGACTGCTGTCCAGGAATTGGCTTGCGTGTGATGTCCTCAGATCTCAGCTACAGTCGAGAGCATTCTACGCGTCTACATCTGACTCCGGACACTTAGCCGCGGCCTCCTGTCCCATCGCCCGCCGCGTTTTGCAGCTTAATTGAAAGCGCCTATATGTATAGATTCAATCTCGACGCGCCGCGCGCGAATCAGCGATGTGCCGAGGACTCAAACTCAAGACGCGCGTGGAAATGTCAGCCAATCACGATCGAGGTGGCAGCTGCCTGCCCAGGAGAACGCCATGCATCAGCAGCAAGGCACGCGCGAGGACGCAGCGAAGGGGGGGCGGGCGCATCAAGTCACGATTCACGATTATAGTGAGTGATATTCACGATTGTTGTGGGTGCGGCCTGATATGCCTGACCTTATCAGCAGACTCATGCTCACGACTAGGTGATGTCGGTGGGGGCGGCGGCTGCCTGCGCTCCTATAGAGATACCTTACATTTGAGGGGATCTTGAGACTGCGGCGATGGGCGCATTGTGTGTAGAACTTGCAAGGCTGAGTATAGTCGCGCCCGCGTTCGTCACAAAGACCCGAGGGGTGGGCATGATAAGGGGGTTGCAGAGTGGACGGGTCTACACGCCATTCATCAGACTTACATCCGCCATCATGATTTGGAAGAAGCAGAAGCCTTGTTGAAGGACAGTCAGTCACAGTCACAGAGTGTCAGCATTTGATTTGGAGGTCCATTTGCGTTGTCGGGCCAAGTCAAAGGTTGACATCAACATTCAAGATCAACATCCACACTCTGGACTCCTGCTCAACATTTGATCACACTCACACGATGAGACCTGCGCTCACACTGGGCGGCATCAACGTCAGCATGCCGCGTGATCTAAGGAGAAGGCTCTTCGTCTTTGCGCAACCGTCACCCAGACCATCGCAGCAACTTCACATCTCGACACGCTTCGCACCAAAGCCGCGCATTCGCGCGAACGACCATGAGGAGCACGGTCGTCGACGTCGAGAGTTGCACACGAGCAGCAGCGTCTCGCTCGATGCTAAAGACACGCATTCATACTCCGACGCTCATTTTCGGCAAGATAGAGAGCGCGCAGAACGGCTGAAAAAGGAGCGAGGGGTTGGGATGGATGGGCAAGGCGAAAGCGCCATAGCTGCGGAGGTAGGCAGCGATACGAGTGCCGCATCCGCATCCGCATCCTCAAGTTCGGTACCGGGTGCTAGTCAGTTCAAAATGACGGCAGGCACGCCGACGGAGCATGCAGTCATTTCCGTCTTTGATCTATTTTCCATCGGTATCGGGCCATCCTCCTCCCACACGCTAGGACCTATGCGAGCAGGAGCCATCTTTGCCACCGAGCTGCAAAGTGCCGGGCTGCTCGAGCGCGTTCACAGGCTTCAAATACACCTGTATGGAAGTTTGGCAGCGACTGGCGAAGGGCATTATACGCCCAGAGCTTTGCTGCTCGGCATCGAAGGTGTCGACGCAGAGACTGTGGACACTGCCTGGGCACCCAAAAGGTATCAAGAGATTCTGGATCACAAGCAATTGTGCATCGGACAGCATCTGGCCAGCTCAAAGCAGCGAGCAGCAGCGAAGATGACGGATGAAGCGCGCTCTGATGCTGCTGGTCAGACCATCGCTTTCGACTACAAGACCGATCTCAAGTGGATGTGGGGCGAAGTTTTGCCCATGCATTCCAATGGACTCAGATTGACAGTGTTTGATGAAGCTGGAGATATGCTCGCCACGAATGATTTCGCTTCTGTAGGAGGGGGCTTCGTCATCAATGGAGCGATGAGCGTCGCTCCTTCTTCCAAGAGCGCAAATGTGACAACATCCCACGAAGCATCATCGGGGAATGCTGCTCTGCAAAGTGCAGATCAGCAAACTCTCTCGCCTGTCCCGTCAGCTGCGCCCGCATCGCACCCTGTCGATCTTGCAGAAAATCTGTTCTACAAGGGCATCGACAGACGAAAAGCAGAAGCGGCACGAAGGCTCGGCGCAGAAGCTCATCGCGAGGGGTCCTCAGACTCGGAAGAATCGTCGCTGAAGCTACCGACTTCGTCCCAGTCCGTAGCTCGAGTGAAAGAGGAGGATTGCAGCGTCAGCGAACCTCCAAAAGATGCTGTGGGCGAGGCGAATGGCACGCCGACGGTGCCCTACGTATTCTGGGACGCTGCTAGCCTGCTCGCCCTGACACGAAAACACAACATGACGATTGCGCAGATCGTATGGGAGAATGAAGTGTCTCTTGGATACTCACCGGATCAGCTCCGAGAGAAGCTCTTGTGAGTCTCTTTCGCTCAATCGGAATGCGGCCAGGCTGCGGGTGTTGAAATGAGCGCTTTGATAGACTGACTAGATCGATACCGACCCAATCGACAACCCCGCACTCTCCTGCACCTCTAGGCACATTTGGGACACGATGGACACTTGCATCTACGAAGGCGTGCATTCCAGCGAAGAGACTCTTCCCGGAGCCTTAAGGCTGCGCAGGCGAGCGCCCGCATTGTACGCTCGATTGACGCGGGGCTTTTTTGCGGGGTCGAACGGTGCTGTGGGGGCGTCGAAGCTAAAAGGTGTGTCCCCTTCGGACGAGAGAGCATCAGTCGAAGGCGGAGGAGAATCAGACGCTGCTCGGCCAAGCAATCTTCCAGCTCTCTCAGAACGCTCCGTCGTAGGCAGCGGCAGCGGCAATCTGCGGCGCCGCGCACGCTCTTCCGGTCCACCTCGTGTGGTCGGTAGGATGGATCATCCTCTCTTGCCAACACCGCCTCGACGTCTCTCGCTGCCGGGAACGGATTTCCTGAGCTGTTATGCGATTGCAGTCAACGAGGTCAACGCATCTGGCGGTCGGGTGGTTGTGGCGCCCACCATGGGAGCAGCAGGCGTCATACCCGCCGTGCTCAAGTATACGCTGGAATTCTACTCTGAAGATGAGGAGAGGGACGTGCTCACCTTTCTGCTCACTGCAGGAGCTATCGGAATGTTGTTCAAACGTGGCGCTACCATAAGCGCTGCGGAGGGTGGATGCATGGCAGAGGTGGGATCTAGCACCGCTATGGCTGCTGCTGCTTTTGCTGCTTGTATGGGTGGCAGTCCAGCGACCATCGAGCAAGCGGCAGAGATTGGTATTGTGAGTGATGGTCGAGGGAGCAGCAGCTACAAGCCCCAACTCCCCAGCACAACCTGGGCTCGCGAAGCGTAATAGATGGGCTGATCGTCATGAATCCTTTGTCGACAGGAACATTCTATCGGCTTGTCGTGTGATCCGCCGCTAGGTCTGGTTCAAGTACCGTGCATCGAGCGCAACGCTTTGGGCGCTGCCAAGGCAGTGGTGAGCGCTCAGCTGGCGTTATCAGAGACTAGCGAGAGTGGACATGCGGTCAGCTTGGACGAAGCTTTGGCTGCTATGAGATCCACGGCGCAGGGGATGAGGAGCGAATTCAAGGAAACTTCTTTGGGCGGATTGGCCACTGCTGTTCGTATACCCGTATCTGTACCTGCTTGTTGATGAGCATTGAACGAGCTTGCTATGAATGTAGAGGGTAAAATCAGCATGCGAGTGAGAAGCATGCATATGCTTGCGAGTTGCGTATACGCGGAGCAAGATGACGACTCACGATTGCACATGGGTTGCTGTAGGGAAAAAAAGAAAAGGGCACAATCCTACATTCCACGTGACGGCGTAGAATGGGTCTGCTGATCGCGAAGAGTCACGAGTCTCGTCCGAGATTGATCATGCGTTGCAGCATGGCTGAATTGTGTCAAAGATGCGCTTACATACGCCCACGCGCATTTCGCGCATGCTGGCGTAGCTATACGCTGCTGCGCCGCCGCCCACCGCTGCATGACCGCGATTGCAGGAATTGTGATTAGCGCACCTTCTGAATTCACGAGATTGGCGGCAGCAGCAGCTGCATGGCCCATGCACAGCACCTCGTCGGTCCTTAGTCGTGCCTATCTGCCTGCCTGCCTCACCACCTCGACTCGCTGAGCGACAGCTTCCCAGGGGTGTCCTCACGGTCATCACGCACGCTCTCGCTTTGTTCGAGGTGCGACGGACGACCATCAAACACCACATCCCCCCTTCGCTGCGTGCCATTTTGCTCCAATCACGATTGGCAACAACACCTCCACGGTTGTCACGGCGCATATACCTTGCTCTCCCTCTTTAGCGCCTCAAAGAAAAAAGCCTCTCGTAGCGCCAGCACACGCTGCCACCGCTACTGCCTGACGACTTCATCAGACTGCTGTGCTGTGTCTTGTCTGCTCCATATTGCAATCACGAGTCCCAACGACGGTACCGCGACCTGCTTGAGCAAGCCAGCCAATTCGAGCTAAGCAGGTGTTGTTGGGGACCCACATGAAAGCAAGTCGGTCAGACAATAATCAGAATCAGCTTCAACCCTCCGCACCGAAATTCAACCCACGATTTTCGATTTGGATTGTAACCACGCGTCACAAGCGCCCTTGTGTTGCTGCTGGCATCGCTGATTGGCAAGGCTTTAGCGGCCCTCGCTTCTGACCATCGGTCATCTGCCCGCCGGGGGGACGAGGAAGGAGCAGCTACTCTCAGCTACATCTCCCATCAAGCACATCTCGCCATAACCCGCCACACCACACCAAACCACATGCCTCCATCCAGCGCGGTGCCGTACTCTCCCTTGCGTAGGCGAGACCCTTCCATGGAAACCATGTCCCGCAGCAGCAGCAGCGGCGTTGGCGCGCAGAGGAGCGGAGGAGGAGGAGGAGGAGGTCGACAAGGTGGGAGCGCATCGTACTCGGACGTAGAGCTGACGCCGATGCGAAGCGCGAGGGACAAGGCGTTTGAAGATGGGACACTAGGCGGCAGTGATTTGGACAAGGAGGCATACCAAAAGGAGTCCGAGTCGGAGGATGATGATGATCTGGATTCGGATGCGGATGCGGGCGATGAGGAAGCCCTATTGAGGGATCCGCAAACGCGAGCTGCTAGGCAGAGAGCTAGAGCGAGGGGAAGGGAGAGGGAGAGGGAGAGTATGGCGTCGCGAGATTCGGACGATCCTATCAGTCTGGTCAGGAGGGCCGTACCCGAAACAGACGACCCCACCATGACCGCGCTCACGCTGCGAGGTGTGATCATGGGCAGCATCTTTGCGACTGCTGGAGCTGCAGTGGCTCAGGTGAGTCGGTGTGGCTTGGATATGTTTTGACATGCAGAGACTCGAGGGCATCCATGGCGCTGTGCAGGTAGCACACTGCCTCGCCAATCGCGCATTGCCTGGCTTTTCAGCGTTCCTTGCCCTCTCGTAGCGCAAGCGTGTAGACTGGCGCGCTGCACACAGAGTGGGAGGCCCGTAGCGAAGGGGCTTGTATACAGTGGCCATCGGCTTTGGAGCTGCCCAAGTCGCTTGAACAATCACTCACTCGCCCCTTATACCACCACAGACATTTTTCTACAAGTCCAATTCGCCCAGCTTCAGCTCCTACATGGTCATCTTGGTGTCCTTGCCCCTAGGACGCTGGCTCGCACGAGTGACGCCAAAAAGGGACATTTGGATCCCGCTCATAGGCTACGTCGCTCTCAATCCTGGTGACTTTTCCATCAAGGAGCATCTGCTGGTCACTGTGGTGTCGAGTTCAGGTGCCTCGTCGGCCTACGCAGCAGATATTCTCAACATTCAGGATCTATTCTATCACACCGAGATGAGCATCCCGGCCAGTCTGGCTCTGCTGTTGACGACCCAAACCTTAGGCTTTGGCTTTGCCGGTCTGGTGCATTCCATCCTGGTCAAGCCCGTCGCTATGGTGTTTCCAGGGACTCTGGTGACCACAACGATGTTCAACACGCTACATGGCGCGCACAGTGCGGACACCAAGCCCCGTCTTCGGTTCTTTGCCTTTGCATTCGTTGCTAGTGAGTTCAGCATGGCTTGCTGACTCCAACGAACTTTAGCTGACACTCGAAAGGCCTTTCACGTGCACCTTCTAGTCTTTATCTATCAATTTATTCCAGCCCTCATCATGCCTACCCTCACTTCGGTGTCGCTGCTCTGTCTGTTCAACAACGAGTCGCGCTCGATGCGTATCCTGGGCTCTGGCATGAAAGGGTTCGGACTGCTCAACTTCTCCCTCGATTGGACCGCCATTGGTGCTGCCGGACCTCTCTACACGCCGCTCTGGGCTGCGCTCAATTACTATGCCGGCATCATGGGAGCCATGTTCGTAGTCATGCCATGCTTGTACTTTTTCGTCGGCGAACATGGCTTTTGGGACGCGCAAAAATTCGACGCGCCGCTCGGGGCGGGATTGTATGGAGGGGACTACAAAAAGTTCAACGTGTCGAGCGTGCTGGATAGCAAGAATATGCTCGACCCTACAAAGTGGAAACAAAACTCGCCTTTGCTGCTCACGCCATGGGTGAGTTTGGGGGGTGCGAGAGAGAGAGAGAGAGAGTCGTGCAGGTGATGATCACTGGCTAAGGCTTCGTTGTCCATCTTGCCCTGTCTGATCAGTTTGCCCTGTGAGTGCACGCTTCTCAGGGCTAGACAGTGGGCCGTCTGCTCACCTGCTACTTCGCGTGCAACAGCTCGTACGGTATCTCCTTTGCGACGCTCACCTCCATGATCACGCATGTGGTGCTCTGGCATCGAAAGGACATTATGAAAGCCATCTTTGCTCCGCCGGGGGAAGATATCCACAATCGCCTGATGAAGGCGTACCAACCAGTCCCCAAGAGGTGCGGAAGGAGCATCGTCGCGGCGGACCATGGTCAAGTTACTGATCACCTCGAGTGCTTCTTCGCCCTAGCTGGTACGTTGCTACCTTGGCAATCAGTTTGTCGACTGCCATTCTGCTCGTAGCGACCTCGCCCCTTCAGATCACTGTCAGTCGGTTCCCAGGCAGATATGCCCGCGCGCGCTGACATAGGCCATGCTGACGAGAACCCACGTCGGCAGGTCACGGGTCTGCTATTAGCCGTCTCTATCGCGCTGATCTTTTTGGTGCCTGTGGGTCTGATCAAAGCAGTGTCGGACACCGTCATTGGTCTCAACGTCGTCACCGAATTCGTCGCTGGATTGCTTTGGCCCGGAAGACCAGTGGGAAATGTCGCTTTCAAATGCTATGGATACATGGCCATGTCGCAGGCTCTGGACTTGACAACGGACCTCAAGCTTGTGAGTGGTCGTGTCTCACGTTTGACTCGCGGAAGCCAACTTAGCTGACAAGGTTCATCGGCGCTCGCGGCAGGCGCATTACATGAGTGAGTACGAGCGGCCGCTCTAGAAAGGGTGCACAGCATCAAGCTCATCCCCGCTCGTCGTGTGAATGGCAGAGATTCCCCCTAGACACATGTTTGTCGCGCAGACGATTGGAACTGTCATTGGTTGCTGCGTCAATCTAGTGAGTACGTTTCCAAACAGCGACGCATCTCACAAGTGTTGAGATGTACCCCCATACTATTGCCCTTGATTCAGGCCGTCGTGCGCTTGATCCTCAGTCCAGATGCAGGCTATCGGGTCTTTCTCACTGGAGAAAAAGTGGATCCGACAGGTCAATGGGATGGTAGAAAAGTGCACATCTTCTACAGCGCATCCATCATCTGGGGCGCCATTGCACCAGCTCGCTTCTTCGTGGGCAACTACATCAAGCTCTACTTTGGCTTTCTCATAGGTTTCCTCTTGCCCGTCCTTCCTTGGCTGCTCAACAAGCGCTTCCCAAGGAAATGGTGGCAGCAGATCAACTTTCCCGTGCTGCTTCATGGCGCGGGTCTGCCGCCTCAGGTGCCCACCAATGTGAGCGAGCCGAAATCACGCCTGGATGAAGCAGAAAAGAAACAAAGAAAAAAGTCTCTTTCAATAAAAGTTTACGCCCTTTTCTTCTTTTTCCCCCCCCACCCCTTCTGCACAGATCATTTCGAGCGGCTTTATAGCGGCCATCTTTTCGCAGTATTGGATGCGCAAACATCATCCTAAATTCTTTGCGAAGCGCAATTACGTCCTTAGCGCTGCTCTGGATGCTGGCAGTGAGCGTCGTGTTCATCGAGCCGAATTTCGATCTTGCATGATGAAAGTGACTTGCACAGTGCGCGCGCCTGACCTTTTTCGCACCCCTCATTCCACTTGCAGCATCCATCAATGCCCTCGTGCTCTTCTTCATGTCCGTCACCATTCTCAAGGTGGTGCCGATGCCTAGGTGGTGAGTGTTGGGAGGGAAGAATAGCAAGCGCAACAAGAAACCTGCTGATCATCTTGTCGACTTTTTCCCCGCCCCCTCGACGCACTCGCACTGTTTTATTTCCCCCTCCCCCTTTCTTTGCGCCCTTCTCTGACGATGCGTCATCGCACGGTTTTAGGTGGGGCAATCCTGCTGCGGATTCGGAACATTGTCTGCCTGCAGGAGGCACCAATGGTCCAGCTTTCTGAACGACGATGGCGGGCGCGGATGCGGATGCGATGGGGGATGATATGATGCTCTGTCTGAACCGTTGCCGAGCTTGTTTTCCCCCCTTCCGAAACACCTCTCCACCCCCTCCCGCCCCTCCCGTCATTCCAGAAAAAGAAAGTCTGCCTTTTTTTGGGTCTCTTTATTGTTTCCCCTCCGCAGAGTCACCTAACCTACTCGAGACTTGCTCTTCTTATCATACGACGACGCTACACAACAAACTCATCTCAATGCCCCATCTTCCTCGTCACCGCCAATTCCCACATTTTGGACGCTTTCTTGGCGTTGTAAGCTCGACTGCAAAGTCCTTTGATGGCGATGAGCTCCCTGGAGATGGACAGCAGGTCAAAAGATTCTTTGCAACACGTTCTGGCTTCGATAAGGGGGGGAAAGAGGGAGGGGGGATGTGGATGCGGGTGATGTTGGAAAGGGTGTGCGTGGATGAAGGTGGGCGAGTCTCGAGTGCGGGACTGGGAAAAGGAATGTGGGTGCACAGAGAGAGAGAGAGAGACTGGAAGAGAGAGAGGGAGCAACCACTTTGCGCGATTTCCCAATTCCCTCGATCTGAACGAATCTTTTGGGCGAATGCGGAAGTCTGAATCGTCAATCAAGAATCGTCAATCGTCAATTGTGAGTCAATTTTGAAAATGTGAATGTTTGCGCTAGCGCGTTCAACCCGTACGCGCACGCACACCCCCCGCCCGCCGCCGCCAAGTCCGTGCGCGAGCGAGCGAGCGGAGGCAGGCAGTCATGCAGTCAGTCAGTCGACTCGTGACTTGCGCAAGTCTTGACTCGTGACTCGTGATTGTGTGATGAGTGTGCAGCATGGGCGTGTATGCATGCATGGGGTACAATGCGAGTCACAGTGTGAATGTACCAGCCAGCCAGCCAGCGAGCCAAGTCGAGCATTTCGATCGCGCCCGCGCACGTCGCTGATCCACGGTGAAGACGAGTCACGAGTGGGCATGTCAGCGTTCACCTGCCATGACACTCAAATTGGTGACTCCCACACACGAACTGACACGTTGACCCTGCTGCGTTCAACTTTGACGGGCTCGCAACTCTTCCACCTTTTCCGACTTGACAATTTTCTTCAGGAAATTTCCACGTCCGCTGCCCCCTTTTCGAAACCTCAACACTTGCACGTCTTCACACTCATCATACTTGTGGCACCCTTGGCCCCCAACCAGCAGCGCCACAAGCGTAAATATCATTCCCCTGTTTGCGCAAATCTTTTGACATCAGGCCTCTTCCAGACCTGCAATCCATTCTCATCCGCATCGCCCCGCGCGTGCCATCTTTCTTTTTGCCCGCCAAAGGCTAGCTTGGAGGGGTTGGGGAAAACAGCTTTTGGCCGGGCCGGTGGGGAAAAGCGAAGCGAAGATCTTCAAACGACCTGGCTTGCTCCTAGTAGACGCATCATCACGCCTCTCGAACCTCTGAGGGGGCCCAAATCGCCGGCCATCCAGACTTGTAAGACGGAAGGGGGAGAATAGCAGCACAGCACACTCGTCTGTCTGCCTCGAGAGCATATACCCCCTCCTCCGCACACACGCACACGCCATCCATTCCCCCTCCCGTGCTCGTGCTTCAAGACAAAAGGGCGAGGCGACTTCTTCAAAAGGGCGCGCGGGGGCCAAAAACAATCAGGGGCAAGAGAGAAAAGCCGGGCTGGGGCTGGGGGCGGACATCATGTCGGCTCTCTTCAACTTTCAGAGCTTGTTGCTCGTCATCGTGCTCATGATATGCACGTGCACATACGTTCGAGCGACGGCCCCTGGATTGATAGATAGGAACAAGGAAGGGTGAGCGATGAACTTGCCCGATATTCCTCTGTTCTGCTGCGAGGGAGGGGAAGGAGGGGGGGGGGGGGGGGGGGGGGGGGGGGGGGGGAGGGGGGGGGGGGGGGGGGGGGGGGGGGGGGGGGGGGGGGGGGGGGCAGGGCGGGCGGATATGTCGGGTTGCGAAGCCAATGAGGTGCGCATGGGCCATCAGCTAGCACGAACGCCCAGGTTTGGTGCTCATGCCACATCGGTTCGTCATGAAGCCTGGGGCCTCTGCAAGGCTCACAGTTTCGCCCGAATTGGCTCAAGCGGCAGAGTGTTTCGAGCATCGCGCAAAGAAGTTGCCCGTTTCGAAAGCAAATCTCCCATTGGAGGTGTTTGCACTTCTGTCCCATGATGGATTTTGCTAATATCCTTTCCCGCTTCCCTCCGATGCAGCTTTTTCGGCTTGTTCTTCAAAGCAGCCAGGATAGGTGCGTACCAACACCACCCCCACGAACCGGGAGAGCGCGCACGCTCTCTCTCTCTCTCTCTCACTTTCGCACTTGGCTCATCCTACACTCTTTCCCTCCACTCGACCCTTGTTCATCGATTCGTTAGGCGAAAGGTTGAGCCCTTATGTATCGTTGGCATGCATCATCATGGCCTTGTACTTGGTCGTCTAGGATTGCTAGGTCTGCATCGGCGCACAGCCGAATGGGGCAAGTGGGGAGCATGATGTAGAAGGGCGCAAAGTACTCGACACTTGCCTCCCGCCAGAGCGTCAGCTCCACCCGCTTACCTGCTCGCGAGCTGCAAGACTGCGCTGAGATGCGCGACTCGGTCATGCAGCAAGTCGAGGTTGGGGCCTAGAATCGGAAAGGGCGGGGAGGAGGTTGTAGAGTACGGGGCTATGGCGCATGTACACCACAGCAGAACCCAGTCGAGAATGGCAGAATGTGAACTTGAGAAGCTCATGCTCCTCGCGTGCTCGGCAGAGCTAAGCCATAGCCTCGACGACTCTCTTCAAGCGATCATCAGACACCGGCAAGGCTCATCTCGATATCAAAGTGCAAGTTCGTGCCAGAACCACGTGAGAGTATGCAATTGCGCGACGAAGGAAAAAATCCCTTTGGCTCCCTGCGATAAATTGCAACTTGCCCGCGGTGACTCGGGCTCGGCCAAATGGCGCTGGAGAGTGAGAAGCGATTTGAAAGTGTTCGCGTCGCGATGAGGAGGGATCCGGTGACACCCGACCCTGGCGGCAACGGCGAGTGCCTCGACGTGGCTCGTCAGGCACCCTGTCCCAAGTATCGAGACGCGCCTCCCGTCACATCCTTTCCTTGCCGGCTGGACCAGCAAGCGTGTGAAATGGTGTCCGAGTCGGGCTCAGCGAGCGCATCAGCTGGTATCCATTTCGATGAGACCGTCCGGATCGGGGTTATCCCTTCTTTCTCTCCTTTGCGCCTCTTGAGCCATCCTAGCCTCCTTGAACTGTTCCCTCTCCCTCCTAATTCTAATCTCGGCATTCTTGATGGCCTCTTTGAGCTCGATGGGTTCGGGCGCGCTGGCCACCGCATCAGCTTGGAAGCCCAAAGTCTCCTTGACTGCTCTTTTGGTTGTGGGTCCCAAGCATGCTAAGCGTGGGTAGCCCTCTGGCGCCCCCGAGCTCGTCCCTCCGCCGCCATTCTCATTCGTCGTTGCATCAGGGGCGGGCGGAATCCACTTCTTGCGCCGCAAAGCTGACAAGGCATAGGTAAGACCAGAAGGAGAAAACAGGACGATCCAATCCGGCTTGGTGCCTCGGCCCGTGCCCAATCCTAGATCTGTATCCAGAGGGAGCGGGGCATCGGGCAACGCATCGCCCTCCTCGTCTGCGAGGGCATTGGCCGCTTGCAGCGGGCTGCCCGTGCCTCCGGCCTGAGCGTGAGCATGGGATACGGGAGTCATGGCAGATAGAGGATTGCTTCCAACGCTCGCGATGGATCCCAGAGCAGAGGCGATGCCTTCCCGAAGATGAGCCGCGTTCTGATCTGCAGCTTCGCGTATAGACGCTGCCCAGCTAGGCCTCCTTCCTCCTCCACCAAACGATCCGCTGTTCGACCTGCTGGGCCTCCTCGATCCAGGTCTGGAGCTGGTCGCAGGCAAAGTCCTCGCTAGATCCGTACACCTCTCCTCAAAGTCATCATCCAAGCACGTCTCGTACACTTGCTGCACCTCGTAATTCAGAGCCGCACCCCTCAACTTGTCCGGGATGGTGGGCGCGTTCTTGTCGCCTACAAGCACCAGAATGGGAGGCTGAGATGTGACTTCCAGATCGGATCGATTGGGAGCGGGAGGTGCAAAGGGATCGCCGCCAAAGTGCCGTATCACGTAGTTGGCTAATGCTTCGCCTGTACCTGTCGCGCCCCCACCCATGACCAAAGAAGGTCGCAATGGTAGTGGTAAGGAAGGTGCAAGCTGCCTCAGCGCTGACGCTGTCGCAGGCCCTACAGCGAAGAAGGGGACTCGATTCCAAGTTGTGGATGGAGCTGCAAGCATGGAACAAAGCAGATGTCAGACACTTGCATGTGCGATGGCTTAGCAAGGCACGCCGGCTTGCCACCTCCGCGAAGGAAATAAAAGTCGAGCAAAGCCAAGCATTCCCTCACTCACCCTGCTTTCCTTGTTGCATTTCCTGCGCTACCTGCTTTGCAGCTTCAGCCCAAGCATCCACTGCTCTCTGAGAAGTGACGATGACTCCCCTGTACTTTTCGTGCGCTCCTGACTGCGATGATGGCTGAGCATCTCCATCCATCTGCACGTCCTGCGCCGACGATGATGATGAGGGTTGAGAAGGAGGAGGAGGAGGAGGAGGGCCGCTGCGCGCCCTCCTGGCCAAGCCGTCCGTATCGATGAGGCTGTGACCCAAGACGGGAATACTGCAGACGCACCACTCCCTCTCCAACGTCTCCTCATCCAGCCCATCCGCCGCACCTGCAGCAGTGCCATTCCTGCTCGCCGCCCTCACCTTCACCTTTTCCAAATGCGTAGTGGTGAGGCTATCATCATCGCTGATCCACCTGCCTCTTCTCCTTCCCGTCTCGCTACCCTGCAAAGCGTTCTTCAGCAGCTCCACACCTTCTCCCTTTCCGATCGAGTGCGGATTGAGGGGCGCAGCGGGAAGAGGTGTGGAAGAGCCGGATTCCAAGGCGCTAAAGGGAAAAGAGGGCAGGCAAAAGGGTCCGAAAATGTCGTGATAGGGATCCGTGCCTACGGACGGAGGTACGGGCGTTCGGAGAAGAAGCACAGTCGTAGGTCGAGCTTGCGTCCCGATCGCTGCTTCGGGTGTCGTCATGACTGCAGCTGCAACCTCGCCCCCCCCCCTTCTGGTCGGACGCGGCTCCCGCCCCCTCGCGTTTGGGGTTCACTGCTTCGTCGTGAGCAACGCAGAACTTGGCTAGTCGATCAGATGTTGTCGAGCAAAAGGCGGATGGAGTGGGCTGGAACAAAGGAATGGAGAGGTGCACCGACCGGCAAGGCAGAGGCAATCGGGAGATGCCAGGTTCTTTTGCCAGGTTGCACGTCGCCAAGTGCAATGGCAAGCGAGGGGCCGGGCGATGATTGACGCTTCTGCTCGGCGATGCGGGTGGAGAAGAGGAGGCGGGGCAAAGTGAAAGCTTGTGTGTGTGTGGGGTGTGGGGTGTGTGTGTGTGACTCTTCGCCCCATCCACAAGTCAGCAGTCGTGAGTGCTTGGAGTTGATGATGTACTCGCAAGGGCCCGTTTTTGTTTCTGCGTGCAGGCCAAGATGCTGCGCGGTGGATGTGCGTTGTGCGCGAGGGGGATGGATGGATCCAGGCACGCTGCACGGCATGTATACCCACGCGCTGCTGCTGGCTAGCTGCTGCTGCTGCTATTCGCGGACAGCAATCCGGGGCCGCAATTGTGCATGCAAAGCATCGAGCAAGCACAAGCGAGGCTACGCGGAGGCAACCAAGCCTGCTGGGACAATCAGAATCGCGCCGACATTTTGAATCACGCCGAGCGCGCGCTGGCATGTTGTTGTAGAGCGACTCGAACAAAAGCTCTCTTTGATTGGCATCCCAGCACCGACCTACCCGCCATCGTTTCCTGCATGCACAAAGATCAGCTGGAGAGGAGAGCCAGAGAGCCATAGCAGGCAGCAGGCAGCAGGCATGCGCGCGGCCACGTAAGGCGGCCCATACGCGGTCGGTGCATGCCTTGCCGGTCTGATGATGATACACAGCACACCTACAGTTCGCGCGTGTGCGCTCTACGGTGGGTGGAAGGGGGGCGAGGGGGCGAGGGGCGGGCGCATCACTGTGACTTGTGCGGCAATCACGAATGCTTCTCAGTCTCGAGTCCAATACCCGGCCAACGCAATCCCCCCACAACAATCGTGAATACTCACCACAAGCACACCAGCAGCGATGCTGCGCTCAATCGCAATCGCAATCGCAAATCGCAAATCGCCAATCAAAACTTTGCGCAAAATCAAAACGCCCACCATCTCGCTCGCCAATCGCTTCTCGCACCAAAAAAGTCAAGAACTGGACGGAAGCGCTTGCATTGCTTTGTATTGTGGGTGGAAGGAGGCCCGCGACGATGGAGTAAGTGGAATGGGAGGCATGTTTGCAGTAAAGTGAGGTTGTGGAAAGAGGAGATGATCCATCCATCCCGCCTCTGCGCTCTAGAAAGAGAAGAGAAGGCTTCGGGATTGCGATCAAGTCTGAGAACGAGCCCACATGGATGAGAGTGGAGGTGAAGATCGAGGAAAGCGAGATGAACCAATGGCGCATCTGCAGCCAAGACCATCGGATCGCGACAGGGGATAGGGGGCGGGATGATAGTAATACAATCTCGATGAGCGCTCTAAGGTGTTGCATGGGTGTGAGGGACCACTTCTTGCGCGCGAGCTGCACCTTTCCAGAGTGGGCTCCGCGCGCGTGCGAGGAGGTCGGCATTCGCGCCGAGATGAGGGGCAGACAAGCAAGCAAGGCACGCAGCAAGGATAACGAGGATGTGGTTGGTCAAAGACGCCTGGTGTGTTGATTGGGATGCGATGAGACTTGACTTTGAATGATTCAGAGACTTGATGTCGGCCTTGTTGGAGAATGTGCAGAAGAAACGCTGGTATGATGGTGCAGATTGGCGCTCTGATGTTGAGAGATGTGAAGCAGATGATAGACGACTAATGCGGTGAGGTGCTAGGTTTACCGAGAGCGAGCGTGCACGGGCGCCTGATCAGGCCCCGCACACATTGACATCCTGTTGCATCAAAGCAGGACGCGACGGTGCGGCAGAGGAGTGCACAAAGACCGGTTGAGCCGGAGGAGGAATGGCGTGCGAATGGTGCTGGAAAGCCTTCTGGTTGTTCTCCTTGCCTTGCGCGTCGTGCGTCGAGTGCTCTTTGCTGGGAGCCGAGATCCGCTCTTGGGCACCGGCTGCGATCAATGGATCGTGCAAAGAGTTGAGAGAGAGTGGCGTAACTGGCATGTCGTCGTCATCGTCGTCTTCATCATCAACATCGTTGCCGCCACGAATAGGTGTGTGCGACATGCACGACGGCGATGCAGAGCAAGAGCGCATAGACACGTCGTCATCTTCATCGTCGACCATCGCAGAGGACATGCCAGCAGAGGTTTCACGGCGAGGGGTGCCCAGGTTGCGTACGCCCCCGCTGCTGAGGTTGCAGGGCGATGCTTTTGTCGAGGTAGTCGCAACTTCGCTGGCCAAACCATCGCTCAACAAGCGCTCCTGCTTGACGATGTCGGTGTAGTACTTGATGACGACGGCAGAAGCGCCGAAGTTGTGTGCGTGACCGTGCTTCCTGACGAGAATCTGGCTGAGCGCAGAGTAGTTGGCACGCAGGTAGCAGTCGAGAAGCTGAGCTGCGGCCGCCGCCTCCTCCTCAGCTTCTTGGAGAGCGCGCGGCTCTTGACCGCAGATGTAGCGAGCAAGCATGACGGCGCCGCCAGAAAGCAGCGATGGGAGCACACCGAGGAACTCGCGAGGGTAGAGCGACAGTTCCATAAAGAAACGGGCTACGCTTTGCACGGTGGGATCCTCGCGTGTTGTCAAGCACGAAGCTCGAAGCCACGCTTCCGGAGAGGGGAAGCCGAGCGTCCATCCGATTGCCTGCAAGACGTGTCCCTCCATCTGAGTGAAGGCCGACTCGTCATATGCGCTGCCGCACATCTGGCTGAGCTCCTCTACGCGAGGTACGCGGTCTTTGGCGTCTTCGAACTTGGAAGCGATGAGGAGTGCGGCGCAACCGACCAGCTGGTAGTGACGCTTGTAGACGATTCGAGTGGAAACGTAGCGGTCCACAATGTTCATCGTCAGGTAGAGCGTCTCGGCGCGAAGTCGGAAAGTTTGGTGGATCTCGATGATAAAGTCGACGAGGTATGGGCGCATGTACCATCGAAGCTCGGGTTGAGCGTCCATCAAGTCGACGTTGGGCAAGGTTGCAAGCTAGAAGGCAGGAGCCGTGACGATCAGCAAGATGTCGGGGGACCGTAACCACGGCGACGCTCGACTCACCTCCATATGATGCATGTGTTTGAGAGCCTCGTCGTAGTACTCCATATCGTTGACGATGGGCCTTGCCTCAGCTTTGAACGCTTCTGCACCAAGTTTTGCCGCCGAAGTCGACGCTTTGCTGGCAAACGAAGCAGCGCGCTTGGCGGCGATAGATGCCGCAGAAGCGACCGCATTGCATTGATGAGCTTGGGCGCGGGGAGAGGCCCGGTGCGATGAGGCGGAGGACCTCACCTTTGCAGCTTGTCCTTTTGCTGCGCTCGAAGTGCTTGTCATGCTGGTCGCGCTGGACGCCGATGCAGAGTCGAGACTCGAAGAGCTCGAAGAGCCGCTGGAGTCGGTGCGTCGGTGTCGATCATAGAAGGAGCTGCGTCGAGACACCATGGATGAGGTGGAAGGTGCGGCCGGCATTTCGACTGATGGGGCGAGCACAAAGTGCGGCGGTAGGGTGGTGCAGATTCGTAGGGTGCAACGAGCGTGAGGTTTCAAGTGGCGCGAAGAACAAGGGAGCAGAAATGAAGGTCGAGGTGAGAAGTCCAATTGGAACGAAGAGATGAGTAAGTCGATGGCGATGTCGAGAGAAGTGAGAAGCGTGGGGAGTGAGGGGGAAGACGAGGTGATGGAGATGAGAAGGCGGCAAAGGGCGCTTCGGTCAGCAAGGGCATAGTCTTATGTACGACCGAGGCGAAGTGTGTGCAGACCAACAAACAGAGGAGCCGCCCACGCGGATCACGATTCGACGACCGTTGAGGGCCGTTGGCGATGAATCTCGAAATTCGCTTGCGCTTGTAGCAACGGATCGCCCGGCGGTCTGGACACTCTCGCGGCACGCATGACGCCGTCAGTCGACATGTACTCACCTGGCACAATGTACCGGTGGAAGGGTCCAACCTTGCAGCTGTATAGTAGATCCAACGGTCGCGCAGTTTGCAAGCGGATAAGAGTGATCTGTGCAAGTCTTGCTCTGCTGCGTGGTCGTGCAGGCGAAATGATTGGTTGGAATGGCCGGAGGCATGACGTGCAAAGCCACGAACAGCCACGAGGGGGGCAAAGGGGTGCACGGGCATGTGGCCAGCGTGGGTGGTTGAGGTGCACCGATGGATGGCATGAGTGCAGAGGGTGTCACGTTGGGCGTAGCGAGCGTGGCGGCGCATTCGATGATGATCGGCGATGCATAACGGTCATCGGAGGATTGATACGCACAGGCAGAGAGAGGGGAGAGAGGGTGTGCAGTCGCGAGTGAAAGGGAATGCGCCGGATTTGGAAAAGGCAAAGGATGGTGCAGGCGAGCAAGCGCAAGGAGGTCAGCTACGTGGTGCGAGCGTCTAGCGAGGCACCTCACACCGCTGCCAGGGAGCGCCGCCATGGACTCTCTGCGCGGTCGAGACGCCGTGCGGGGAATGCGGACTCCGAACGATGACGCCCAGATCGCTACCCGTGCCCTGCTGTTGGGCGTACGACACTCACAAACAGTGAAGAGGTGCAAGATGCAATGCGCGAGGTAGAAGTCGCAGGCAATCGACACGTCAGGTGCCAACGGGCACGACGTACACGTCGCTTCTAGTCGCAGTGCCCGGCGGGTGGCAGTAGAGCGGTATGGCAAGCGGCAAGACATTGACGATTGGGCGATCAGCCATCGGTGCACGGTGCGAGCCAGCACAGGTTGAGGGGCACGGACGTGCAGATGATGTAATGTGAATCGTCGTGACAGCCATCGTGAACGCCGCAGGATCAGCAAGGAGGCAAAGTGGCGAGCGTAGCGTCGACCAGTCAAGTGGTACAGCGATGGTCGTGGGCGGGGGCGTGTGCCGCATGGTCGCGGTCAGGAGACGCGGCGAGGATCGAGACGCGGGCGCAGGCAGTGAGATGGCACAGGCGTCGTTCGATGGTCGTATTGGTGATGACGAGGCCGAAGCAAGGGGTCGAATGCGAAGGGAGCAAAAAGGAAAGAGGTTGCGGTGAGATAGAGCTCGAGTTGGTATCCAGGGGGCGGGGGGGGGGCGTTGGCTGGCGCCGACCAGTGAGCGCGAGTCCCAAACGCGCGTCCCCCTCGCGCATTCGCGATCAGCCCGCACGCGCTTGTGCAGCAGCTGTGCGGCGCGCGCCCCTTTGCCAGGCGAATCAGTCGTGAGTGAATGCGAATCGATTGGATCGATGAGTGACATGCTCCACGTGAGTGCAAGACGACGCGTGCATCCATGCAGGGTACGCGTCGGTGGCGCATGCCGCCCGGCGTGCCTGACTCCAGAGCTCACAAATGGTCAAGACACTGGCGCAGCGCCGTCGAAGCTGCAGCTGGATGCATGCGGCCCGTGCATGCGGCGCGCATGGCAAAGATCAACACTGCAGCAGATCTTCTCGCGCGAGCGCATGAGTCTGAGTTCTGGATCGGCCGGTAGAAGCGCGGCAAGCAGGCAAGCCACGCGGGCTATAGCAGCGGAGAGGTACGATCACGTACCGATGCGACTCCCTCGCATCGCTCGCTTCGCAGACCAGTCAAAAGTGAATGCTTTACGTCCCATGGAACCCATGTTTCTGCCATGGTGTAAACCACAAGGATGCGCTGGAGCCGATATAGGCTTGGGGTTGACCGCCGATCCGAGAGCATCGAGCTGCACTGCTGCGATATGTCCTCTGCAACGATGTCCTCCTAGCACACTTGACCACCATCACCTCCCCCAAGCGAGACAACCTTGAATCAACGCTGCTCGGTCGGGAGGCGACCTTACATACTCGCTTCCTCCGGCCGGCCAGCGCATACGATAGCGATGCCAAGGCTCTGTCGGGATCGCGATGTGTCGCCTGCCCGGAACTTTGTGTGGAGCGCTTTCCCATGCCCGACCTCTAAACGCGCCAGAAGCCAAAGTTGGAGCACGATCAAGGATCAACTCACCTGAAGAAGTTGATGTAGAAGCAGGGTCTGACTGGCGAGGGATTGCACAGGCGAGGTGTCGTCGAGGATGCTGTTAGAAGCTAGTTCCAGCCTAGCACCGTGAGTGTCTGTTCGTGAAGCGTTGACGCGGAGATGCAGTTCTGCGGACGAAGAGCGAACGGCTTCGAATGCTGCGCTATCTCGAGGATGAGGATGGCGAGGATGAGGATTCGCTAGATGTCAGCGTAGAGCGGCGCGAGGTCGTATGGTGAGGTACCGAGGGTCAGACGAGTTAGAGGTGAATGGTTGGGGCAAGAGTGGTTGCGAGTAGAGCAGGATCGTCGGGATGTCGATGAGCCATGTATAGAAAGCTGAATCGGTGTCGCGTCTCGCGCTTTGTTGTGGAAAGCAGCTCTAGCGATCCCCGCTCCCAAAGCAAAATGGTTATCGTGGTGATGAGCTGATTCGGTGACGGAATGAGAGACAAGGGTCCGCTTGAGCGGGTCGTGCCTCTGCCGCTGCTGGCAAGTATGGATCGGCGCTGCAAAGTCACTGTGAAGAGTGACGAGTTCCGGAAACACCGCACAGCGGATGGAGTAGCGAGGCGAAATGCCCGCCGAAAGGTGTCAATCGTGACCAATCTGGCCCGCTGCCATGCACTCACGAATGGCGGCGGGATGGGATTGTGACAGAGCGGGAAGAGTTTCAGTGTCAGGCACAGTGGAGCGGTCTGCTACAGCAAGCACACATCAAACACGCATCCTGCTGTACTCTTCTTCCATTTGGCTGTGCGTCTGCCAGCATCCGAGCTAGTCCCGTCTAAATGATACCTTCACGCGCAGATTGCGGAGGGTGACGACTCCCGAAGGCTCAAGCAGCAATTGCTGCTTCTGCGTCCTGGCGGCCAAGAGGTGTGCGCGGGCTGCGACCCGCTGCGTACGTACGTGTGATACTCACGACTATCACATCGAATCGTGTGGCTCGAATCCGGTAATTCGGCACTGATTGACGCAGAAATGCCTGTCTCACACCACGCGGTCTGGTCTTCCTAGCCTAGCAGGCTGCCCCCGCGCTTGCTGTATGCGCACGGGCATTGGCACTGCGTGCGAAGCAGAAGGGGAGGGGGAGCGATATGGCATCGCATCGCCTACGGCTTCGTTGGACCCTTGGTCGCACTACTCTACCGCACAATCTGCCTGCAGAATTCTTGCAGGCAGACAGCACGAGAGCAGCTCTTGACATCTGCAAGCGATCGCCATCCAGCTGCTGATGGATGCGAATGGGATCCGCAGAAGCGATGCGAGGCGGGCGCTACACAGATGACTGCATGTATAAGTCGCGAGTCGTGAGTGAGCCGGAGCACACTCTTCCTTCTTGTCACGCGGCTTCAAATAACACGCATATGCTCGCGCCGGCCGTCCGGGGTCTGGCGCGTGATGCTGTCGTCGAGCGCGTTTGAGCCTGCGTCTGCTGCTGCAAGCGGCTATAGCTGCAGCGACAGCAGCAGCAGCAAGATGTAGACCTTATGCAAATTCAAGGGTCTGCCGCATCGCGGCGCACAGCAGCTTGCTGCTAAGAGCGCCGAGTGGTGGCAAGCCTTGGCGGTGATGACCATGCGGCAATAAGGTGGCGTATTCAAAATTTGAGAAGGCTCTCCACCAGCTCGTACTTTCACAGACCATCTCAATGCTTGCCTTGGGCTAACGTGAGTGGTTTGGAGTCAAGTCCCGCCGCAGGGCCTTTCCCGCGAAGCTTTGACTACGAACCGTCAGCTGGCTTCATCACGGTGAGCCTGAAGGGAAGCGAAATTTTGCACGCCGGCCGTCAGGCGACATCAAGCGAGTCGTAGAGGTGGCGGCCGCGGGCGCCGTGCGTGTGTGATGTACGCGCGCATGGCGTTTTAGAGCTTGTCGATCCTCGGCGCCCAGCACGGCCCGCGCAGACCAGCAAGCGTGAGCTATACGTACAAGGGTGTATTACGGACTGCATGATATGATTTGCTTGCTTCAGTCTTGAGTGCTCTTGACCAAAGAGTGCAACACTCAATTGACTGACGCGGCACAGCAAAGACATCTTTCACCATTTGATTTGCACACTTATCCAGCCACGCCGAGCTCAGGCACTTTCTGAAGAGAACGTCAGCTCTGCTTCCAATTTTTGACTCTTGACTCGCCTTTTTCGCGCGGAATTGCTGCTCCTGTAGCTGCCTTGCGACCATGCACCGCATGTGTGATTGTATGAATGCGCCATTTCCGCGAGCGGGAAGGGTCGACGCGAACCCAGTGCAGCGGCACACTACGCGTTCCTCTGGCTTGCGTTAGCGCCGGAGCAAGAATGGGCTTGTTTGCTTCATGTTCACCATGCGCACGCAGGGCGAGGCCCGAGCGGGAATGGATTTGCAACACGTCTCCCGAGCTTTGTTTAGGCTCGCGACGTGGGCGGGGAGGGAGCCCGCGCCCGCGTGAAAGCGACCGTATCATCCGCTACACTCGGTGCGGGCAGAGGTGTGTGTTCAGGCACCGTCAGAAATATGCCTTTGCGATTCGTGACCACGCGAACAGCGTTCGGCGCCACGCAGCCACGAACGATGGACTGGGCACGAGCAACCGTGAAGGCAATGTCGCGCGAGCCCCGCGCGATCCGCGAAGCTACAAATTTGAACAGATTGGTGACTGCATGCTGTTAGCTGTCGGGTAAGACTCTTCTGACTGCAACATCAGCAAACACATTTCATTTCATTTGATTCCATTTACTCAACGTCGCTCCACACTCATTGTAGTCACGGATGCTCGTGTGACACCCCGGCGCAATGAACAGCTTGTATGCAAGTTGAACATATATGAGTCAAATCTAGGCCGCGAGCGTCGAAGCTATAAATAGAGGCTCATCGGGCCTTATTTTGACCGCTTGGACAGTCGAGTAAGTTTCAGGGCTTCAAAAGAATATGTGTATATAGATCGTTCGCTGGCGGCGAGACTGGCGCATAATAGTCGCATAGTCTCAGCTGTGCAAGTCTCAAGATCGAGGCTCTCCGGCAGCGTGAAGCACACACTTCAAGAGTCATCCGCGCGTCTGCACCTGTAGCTCTGAGAAGCACTCAGAAATTGGTTCGGCGCGGATTCCGCAGCGAGCGCGCGGGCCAAACACATATGCAGTGTGATGCTTGTGATGGCAACGAAGGTGATGTGTGCGTACATAGCAGTCATGAGTCCGGCATATGACTCTCGGCACCGCCAAGGTCGGCATACGAGAATTCTCTGAACCCCGACAGGCCGCGGCATACATGCTGCAAGCATCAGCATGCAGCAGACGTGAGGTGTGCTTCGCGATTCTCTGAAGCCCAGGTTGACGATTGTACAGCATGTGCGTGCATGGTGTGGCGGCCACTCTGTCAGCTTCGAGTCGAGCTACCCGACCGCTTGGTGGCTCGAAGATGACCATGAGCACATGAGTCGGTGGCAAGTATAAGTGATGGCGCGTCGAGGGCCGTCTGCGGCGTAGACCATGGAGACTGGCAGACTTGCGCGTAGTCGGATATCGAGATTTGAGCTATTGGCAGCAATCTTGAGTCCTGTTCGTGGGCAAGAGGGTATGGCTCGTCGATTCATCCCCCCCTGGTCTCTCGCTCGAGTCGCCAAGCATTTGCATCGTGTGGCAGCCACTTCTGGCTTGGTATCATGCGACTGGGCCTCACATTTCGTCAGGGAGGGTTGCCCGGCCGATCGTCAGCTCTCGGGATGAGTGACCAATAATATGCACGTGCGTGTTTGCAAGCCCGTGGCTGTGCTATGAGCGAAATAGACGGGAGCGTATTCGGCCAGGACGAAGTGGCACGCACGGCGTGCATCGCGCTTGTTTGTGAGTATCCTGAAGCACCCCGGATATTTGTTCAAGCTGTCCCACAACTTGCGCCCGCAAGAGTGAGAGGCAGAATGAGAAACTTGCTCGCTTCATCTATTCCGCTGGTCTTTTTGACTAAAGAGCGGCACCACGACAATCTCCCAGGTGCTGGGTTGCACCGTTTGACTTCGATGGAAATGTGCGCCCCACCACCCGCACTTATCGAGAAGCTGCGCGGCCATGCAGATTCATGGATTGACTTGCGCTGTGAATGATGCGGCTTCGCGTTGTGCATTCACGTGGTTTTTAAGTCATCAGACTCACGACTCATGGCTGTGACTGGTGACTTGTCGTGAGTATTACTACCCACGACTGACTACTCAAGACTACGCTTGACTGTCGCTGCGACTCGTCACCCTCTTCTCACTCAAAACTGACCATACACGTGCCTGCAAGCCAAGGTGGCTGATTCGCGTGGTGAGCTGATGCCGTGTGCGCGTCAAGTCACGTGAGTGAGTGACTGAACCGGTCTTCGACCCCTCGATTCGCTGACCCGGGAGACACTGATCGAAATCCGTTCGCAGCGCATGTGAAAAGACTCGAGCGCGACCACGCCCCCTGCAGCAACGGTCTCATCCTTAACCAAAGCTCTTAACAATGCATGTTGAATCAAAAATGATAGACTTCGGGTGAGACGCCGCTGAGCCGCCCCAGCGCGCAAGGTAGTGCATGCGTGGTGACGCCACACGATGATTCAAGTGGATCGCATTGATACACACACTCAATTAGCATCGCTCCGCGCTGGCTTGTAATAATGGATTGAATTGATTCGATATCATCCGTGCGTGCAATCTTGATTCACAAGCAAGAATTCCCTTCCATCCAATGAATCCTTTCAATCACACCTCATTCCACTCCGGTCACCATTTTGGCTCCGTCCCTGCTGCATGTGATGTGTGATGCATGCGCGACCCTGATGGCTCCCCACTTGTCCGCGGTCAAACCCCTCTTTCCCGTCACCCGCACTTTTTTTTTCAATTTCCTTGTTGGTCCCCACGTGACTGTTCGCGAGTGTTGCCGCGAACTCCCCGACGGGAGATTTTGATTCTTGATTCTTGATTGCCATCGTGACGGTACTCACCCGCCCACCTCTGTCGGCCGACGATATAACGGTGCCGTCAGCCATACCTGACCGTCAGTGCCCATGCAACTGTGACTCACGACTCGGATCTTAGTGCGGAGCGACGCTAAATGAATGGAACCAATTTCCCACATATAGCGATGTATCGGTGGTCATACATGGTGTATCAGCGGTCATCTTCTGCAACCATTCTCGATTCGCCTTCAAGAATATTCCTGATTTGCGAATCGGCCAACCTCATGGTCTTGGCGTCCGATCGTCACACTCTTGCATGCTGCTGGCCACTTAGCCCATTCAGCATGCGACCCTGAACCGCATTTGGATCTCTGCTGTGCTTTACAGCGTGTCGCTCGCGACTCAGGAGCGTAAGCACAGTTCAGTGATGAATGCACTAGTCTGATAGATGTGCTGCCTGCAGCTCGGCAAGGCTCGACAACGCAATTGTACTTGCTCCTCCGACGAGCGAATGGAAGGGGCATGGCAATATCAATGGCCCTCGGCCGTCGCTCGCTTCCTCATCAGCATGTAAACATTTGGCACGTCGGTCGTTCTGTGAACGCCCATGCTGCTTGCTGCGGGCTGCTTCTTCATGAGCGTGCCTGCATAGCATGCAACTCTTTTGCAGCTTGGAACATAGCCCGTCGATCGGCGCTGCAAGACGCTGCACTGTGCATCTGCATCACACATACACCTACCTCAGCAAAGCCCCAGATGGCGAGTTGCGCGAATGTCCCAGAACAGCGATTGTCAAAAACCAGCACCCGAGTCGATCAATATATGAGGTAGCGCTGCGATACGCGCACGTGACGCAACCTTGTCTCAGTCCACCGCATCTTCTTTCCGACGGGCTTCGATTGATTGCCCTTGCAAATGGAAACGAATACTAGAACACGGAGTAGCGTGCCGCCGCGGAGAAGTTCGACAACGAGAAGGAGCGAGGATCAGTGTCATCCGGCTCGGCGAAATGGTGACACTGACCGGAGCGCAGCGGCAAATGTCAAAAAAAAAAAGCACAAGGCCAGGTCAATCGCAAAGCTTGGCGAAAGCGATCCGAGGTGTGCGCTACCGACGCTTCCCCGCTCGCAGCAAGACTGAATGTAGGGATTGTGATTGTGAATCGTCGTGGGAGCAGCAGCAGCCGGCCAGCGATGCGCGCAACGAGACGCAAGGTGCGCAAGAGGCAGTCTATTTTACACGCGGCAACAGGCATGACCGGGCCGTAGCGCGGGAATTAGCGGGACCTTTAAGTGCAGGGACACGATGACCGACAGGCATTATAGAGAGAGAGAGAGAGAGAGAGAGAGAGAAAAGGAGACATCGAGAGAGATGCGAGGAGAGAACAGTCGAGAGGCGGGGTAAAGAACAAGGGAGCGTGGCTCACTCTATGCGAATGCTGTAGAGCTGGACTGCGTCGGGCGCAAGAGAGCTTTGCATTCTGTCGAGGAAGATTTTATGCTCCGACGGGTAGGCGATACCGTCGAATCCTCGGACCAAGCTGATTGGGAGTCCTACGGGACTGGCTGCCTCCAGCTCCGCAGGCGAGCTGTTTGGATACGCAGCGGTCAGAGCGCGATGAACCGCTCCAGCCATCTCGTCGGGCGGCGGCAAGGTGACGACAACGTCATTGTGGAGCGGCGGAGGATCGCGATCAGAGCGTTGTCGAGGTCCGCGCACCTCGAAGCGAAGGGGGCCAAGATCGCCAATCCAGATTTCCGAGGCTATCTGACATGGTGGGCCGCCATCGTCCATTGGGAATGGATAGAACAGATCCCGCGTAGCAAAGTTCAACCTGTTCTCCGTTGGATCAAAGAAGGGCTTGCTTGCAACCGCAGAGAAAGGTGTGACGGGCAGGTTGCTGATGGGCTGGGGCTGATGGCCAGGTCCCGATAGCGCAGTATTGGCATCGATGTAGGTGTATTCGAGTTGATCTGTCAAGTAGAACGATGCAGAAAATGCGTGAGCTTCTGAGAGCGAGCGATGAATCTCCCACCTCGATTTACTCACGGACCATCACAACGGACCAGCACAGCGTGTCGTCCACCACATCGACCTCGACGTGATCTGCAAACTGGCCTGAGCCTACTCTTGCCTCTCGATCGCTTTTTGAGGGTATGGCGTATGTTGCCGAAGTGGCCTCAAGGAGGGATGCTGAGGCTGGGCCGGCGGCACCATGCGATGCCGAGTGTGCAGATTGCCGCGGTGCGTGACTCGCACGTTGTTCAGCATGCTCTCGCCCTTGGCTGGGCTCGACCGTCGAGGACCAGGCTGGCAAGCGTTTTTTGTTCGGGTAGCCTGAAGGGGCGTCACTGCAGCGAGCATGCGCGTATGCGGTGCTCCGCGCCACCTCTTGCGATGTGACAGCATCATGACCATGAGCTCTCGGTCGCTGCGCAGCCGTCCAAGAACCGTTGCCCGATTCAGGAGACCGCTGAGAGCCGAGCTCATGTCGTCGCTCAGGAACCGTCGAGCAAAGATAATTGCGATGCTGACTGGGCAGTGTCAAGGTAACGAACGAGGCGTCGTCCATGTCGCAGCGTACGTAGCTGGGAAGAATCCTCAGCAGCGCAACTTTTTGCATCTGACTAACCGGACTCGCGTTTTGTCCTGGTACGCCAGGAGTGGTCGAGCCTTCGCCTGCATCAACGGAAGAGCGCTGCTGGGCGGCATGCTCATCAAGAGCGATCTTCGCAGTCTCAGCCGCGGCTCCTCGACCGTATCTTGGAGGATCGTTTGGGTGCGGAGCTTGAGATGCCAGCTCGCGCATTCCTCGCTCGGTGAGCTTGAAAAAGCTCCGAATACCGTCCGAGGCAACACTCGAGCTCGAGCGCTCTCCACTGGCATGGTCCCACAGCTCGACTTTGCCCTTGTCGACTCGGCAAACCAGAAGAGGATCCGAGGAGAGACCTGCCTCGTCTCGCAGAACGATAATGTGGCCATACATGAGCGGCTCGTTTGTAAACTCGACGTTCTTGTATGGCCGTCCAATGACTTCGACGCGTAGAGGTGTCCAGCCGTCCATCTTCGCTGTGAGGCGGCTGATCGGTCCGCTCCTCGACTGCTCAGTCTCCATACCCAAGAATCTGGTTCTGACCGTCTGGCTGTTGACTCTGTTGTAAAGGCAGACGAAGCTGTTCGCCATGACGGTGCTAGAGGTGTTGCGAGACTTGGCGCTCTTTCTTGCCGGTTTGCTGATCACGCTAATTGGACTTGAAAGAAAGGAAGCCCATGGGCGCGCATCATAGCCAGCGAGCGTGTTGGGAACGCCATGGGGAAAGGCTGAATGCGCAGCATTGAGACCTGGAGGAGTCAGCATCTCGACCTGCAATTTAAATGTCTTGGAGGCACCGTCGCTGCGCATGTCCCCTCCCACGTGCAGTCCGAGAAAGTAGACTCCGTTCGGCCACATTTCATCTGCCCGCATTAGAGCCAATTGCTCGGCAGCAACGCTTCTTCCATGAACGCCGGGATCCCTACCGTCGAGTTCATCGTACTGGGTAGGCCTTCCGTCAGGGCCCACGGCAGTCACACGCATCAGGATGCGATGCTGCGTCTTGGAGTCGCTCGGGACATATGCCCGCAGCGGCGCACCTCTGACCGTGACGCTCGGCGGTGGGCACAAGAAGCGCTTTTCGGCGCCGTACGACTTTTGCGCCACTGCGGCGTGGCTGACGCGGAATGTGGTGGCGACGGGATGTACGCCAGAAGTCTGCTCGCGTAGAGAAGCGATGTGGAGGAGCAGTAGTCGCCTCGTATTGCTGTGCTGCTCGCGGCGCTCCACTTGGCGAGTCAACTGCGCTCCACGCACGATAGACGGTTGGTAGGACGTATTCGAAAACGACTGCTGAACAGTCGGCGAAGCGTAGGCAGGTTCTTGCGTGTGACTTTCCCGGTAGTGCAGGTCATTGGACTGCGAGGCCGTGGCCGAGCGCGATGGCGGAAAAGCCAGTGGTGGAGGGGGCGGCTGCCTGCCAGGCATGGAACTGGGATGATTGACAGAGTAGTGCGCGTGAGAGTTGCGTTCCGGGGGCGCAGCGTCACCTGCCCAATCGCCTTTGCGCTTGCCCAAGATCTGATCTCCACTGGCATTGCGCCGATGCATCCCGACTCGCAGCGAGCGCGACGGAGTCACCATCAACCTCGAATCCAATGCCGAAGCATTTGGGTGCGCCGGCATACTGGGATACACCGGCCGACTCCCGAGTACAGGTGTACTGGCAGAGGAGCCACTGTGGTCGCCATCCGCTCTGCCCGATTCCGCGACGCGGCGAGAAAAGGTCGCAAAGTCTGGCAGCCTTGGACTAGAACTGAGCGGCGCTACAGATCCGACTCGTGCATCTGGATGGCCAAACGCGCTCACAGTACGTTGACGGTCGGTGGTCTGCCGTTGCATGCCAAGCATGCTGTCCTTGTCGTGTAGATGGCGGGTCAGGCGTGGATCATGAAGCTCGCGGTCTGCAGAGGCACGTGACGAGGGCCTCGAGGGGGGATGAGAAGGCATTCGATTGTGATTGCCGACGTGAACAGGCGCGCCCCTTCCAGACGTGCTCGAGTAGACAGGGCTGTTGGATCTTACTTGCCCAGGTGGTGGAGCGGATGCGCAGGTCAATGTAGGCGACGGTATCGGTTCACGCTCCAAAGTCGGTGAGCTTGCTGTCGCGCTGCCCGCACGCATAAGGGACGCGAGAAAGCTGTCGGTGCGGGTGGGGGTTGAAGCAGGCTTTGGCGCGCTAGGCAGATCGTGACCATCGGGTGGTCGTGGACGTGTGGAGTGATGGGCGTGGAGGGAAGGGTTCCTCAAACCATTGCTCAACGACGATGAAGGACTTCGATGTCTCGAATGTGGCGCAGTCGTGGAGATGGAACGCTCGTCGACGCTCGATACATCCGCTCGAACGCCGTAGCGGGGCCGCGGCTCCTCCTCCTCGTCCAGCATGCGTGCACCATGTCCCCCCAGTCCGACTGTGGGCCTGTCAGGACTCATCCATGAGGGGCGAGCGGGCATCTCGCGCCGAGTGCCTGCAAGGATGCCCGCTGCAGCCTCTGGACCGCTGCTAGATCGTGCAGCAGAGTTGCGCCTGTGATTCGAAGGAAGCTGAATGCTGCCGTAGAGCACCTCCGGTGACTTGGCCAGGTTCAGCAGACTTGGCCTGCGAGGGCGCGAAGCCGCCGAAGGGGTGGTAGAATCGGAAAACGCAATGAGGCGCGGCTCGTGCGAGGTGTCGAGTGTCGAGGTGTAGTAGTCGTCTGAGGGTCTGCGAGGCAGCGCGGCTCGATGCGAAGGGTCCATCAATGCGAATACGGACGATGAGTTGCTCCGTCAATCAGGTGAGCAGGCCGACCTCACTTTGGCGATGCGCCAGCTCGTGCGCCACAGCCGTCACCGGATACGTTTGAGAAGCGAGGCCGCAAGGCGAGGAGGGATGACCACACTCTCCGCAAGCAGCGACTGTTAATCGTGAGACGTCAAGAAGGCCTGCCTCGAGTCCAATCTAGAGTCGATTTGCTTTGTACGAATGACGCAAATCGTCCACGCGATCAAGCCTTGTGATGGCGAGAACAAGCGTAGCCTGCAGGACGGACAGACCTTGTCTCGAAAACAAATGCTGCGGTCCACGCCTACGCACTTGCGAGGTACAGCGGTGAAGTAAAATTGGCGCACTTGTTCCCACTTCGTGATTCGATGATGGCGAGTCGTGACCGAGATGCGCCCACAGAGAAGAGGTTCCGGAGAGACTGTTGTGTGGATCGGTCTAGCTGAGAGTTGCTCATGAACGAAAGCGCAGCCAGATGAGGTTAGGGCAACCCTGCCTTCCGAGGATCGACTGAGCCAGAATCACTTGACTGCACGGTGAAGACTTGTCCCTTGAACTTGCCAAGGCAGATCGTGAGGGTTGGGACAGCAAAGGGAACGTGGGGCTCGGTCGGAGACTCGTGACCGAGGCTCGCTCAGCACCCTGGCTGAGACGCAGGCGGAGAAGTGAGGCCGGAGATTTTCGCTGCTTTGTGGATGCGAGATAAACAAATTGCGACGAAGCAGGGCTCAGCTTGAGGGTAAGTTCGTGATGACTGCCGCGTTGGGATTGGGGTGTGCGAGCGGAGCAGTCTGAGCCTGACGTCGCGGCGTCACGTCTTGCCTGTGAGGCGGGCGGAGTCGGAGTGCAAAGTTGCTGACGAGCGTGTGGAAGACCTGGAGGATGAAGACAAGCAGCTTGCTATTGCGAGCGACAAAGAGGGCAAAGGAGCAACACCAATAAAACAAGAGGCATAGGGCGACGGGTCGAAAGGAGGCAGCGGAGCAGGAATTGGATTTTGAGTGATAGAGAGGGGGTTGCGTTGTGAGAGGAAGGCCAAGTTTGGGAAGAGCGACCAGCAGCAGCGAGCGACCAGTTCCTCAGCATCCATCTTCCTTGCCGCTCAACGCCGAGACACACGCGCGGCAAGCCCGGGCGGCGGGCATGCATGGGAACCAAATAGCATGCGGAGATATCCATCTACAGTACGCTCAAGACTTGGGAAGGACCTGACTGTATGCGCACTGCACTGCACTCGTGACGCGGCGCCGCACCGTTCTGTATGCACCCACCTTCGACATCTGGCTAATGTGAATTGAATGCTGACTGACTCTTGGCCCTTGCAAACAGCACAAGCATAAGTGGCGTCGTGCGCGTCACCAGCCGACTTTGTCTGGAAGGGAAAAGCGGGCAAAGTGGGCGGCTTTTTGTGTCCGAAATCAAATGTGAAACAGCATGCAGTTTGGCCGCTCCCGCTTCTGGATGCGAGATCTGGGTATACAGCATGTATGTACATGTATCACACGGAATGGCGCGGGTGCAAAGCAACGAGTGGATTCATGCCCCGTGAGAGCTAGAAAGAGCCGAGCGCACGGGTCTGCATGCAAAGTTCAAGGGGCACAAGCGCAGTGTCCAATCTATGCTGAATTGCATCTCTTCAGGGTAGCCAGACCATCGGCGCGGGAATCGCGCACAGTAGTGTGTACAGTATTCTTCATTGGGCGGTGTGCAGCAGCAAGCACCACTACGCACATGCACCGCGCTGATGAACATGAGTGTATAGCGTGCACTTTATGGGTACTAGCGGATTCGGTCGCGCTGAAAAAGGCAGGTCAGGTCAGGGCGCGAAGGGTGTGACGGCAAACGACAAAGGCTGCATCAGCGGCCTGCGCAGCGACGGAAGAAGGGACAAACAGCCAAGCAGGCCCACATCCGTAATACAGTAGTAGTAGTAGTAGTAGTAGTAGTAGTAGTAGTAGTAGTAGTAGTAGTAGTAGTAGTAGTAGTAGTAGTAGTAGTAGTAGTAGTAGTAGTAGTAGTAGTAGTAGTAGTAGTAGTAGTAGTAGTAGTAGTAGTAGTAGTAGTAGTAGTAGTAGTAGTAGTAGTAGTAGTAGTAGTAGTAGTAGTAGTAGTAGTAGTAGTAGTAGTAGTAGTAGTAGTAGTAGTAGTAGTAGTAGTAGTAGTAGTAGTAGTAGTAGTAGTAGTAGTAGTAGTAGTAGTAGTAGTAGTAGTAGTAGTAGTAGTAGTAGTAGTAGTAGTAGTAGTAGTAGTAGTAGTAGTAGTAGTAGTAGTAGTAGTAGTAGTAGTAGTAGTAGTAGTAGTAGTAGTAGTAGTAGTAGTAGTAGTAGTAGTAGTAGTAGTAGTAGTAGTAGTAGTAGTAGTAGTAGTAGTAGTAGTAGTAGTAGTAGTAGTAGTAGTAGTAGTAGTAGTAGTAGTAGTAGTAGTAGTAGTAGTAGTAGTAGTAGTAGTAGTAGTAGTAGTAGTAGTAGTAGTAGTAGTAGTAGTAGTAGTAGTAGTAGTAGTAGTAGTAGTAGTAGTAGTAGTAGTAGTAGTAGTAGTAGTAGTAGTAGTAGTAGTAGTAGTAGTAGTAGTAGTAGTAGTAGTAGTAGTAGTAGTAGTAGTAGTAGTAGTAGTAGTAGTAGTAGTAAGTAGTCGTAGTAGTAGTAGCAGTACCATGCCATGCCACGCCCTCAGACAGTCAAAATCAAGATGAATGCGTGGCGAAGCGGAATGCCCGACCTGCGCCAGCCGCCAGCAGTGCGCCTGAGATGCCCATGCATCGCAGCAGTCAGACCCAACAGCCGGCTCCGAAGTGTATGACGCAGCGCAATTTGCGCTTAGGACCTGACGGCCGGCTGCATGCATGGCTGCCCGAGTCCCTGGGAGTCGATCGATATATGAAAACCATTGGCCATCATGACAAGTGGTAGTTGTAGCACGAACAGTCATTCGAGATTGAGTGCCACTGCTCGTTGCTTCACATGTGCGCAGCCCGCAGATGCTGATCAGCTGCGGGCAAGGCGTGAGCGCAGCGGCCTAGGGGGAAAGAGAGGAGCTTTGCACAGGAGCGTGCGAATAGAGACCCCCGGGCGTGCCTGTTAAAGCTGCTCCGTGTCCCACGACGCCCGTTCTCCGGTCTCACATTCTGATTCTGCTTGCATCTCGCAGAGCCGCTGCTGGATTGGTCTGCGCGGTGGACACGATCCGCTAATAATTACATATATCTAGTAACTCGCCACGCGCAGACCTCGCCGCTTGTTGAAGCAGTCTACGTCTACGCTTCGTGTGGAGCTCTTGATTGCTCACTGGTTGGTAGTAGTCACGAATTGCATCTTCTATCGAGCAGTCAGAATCTCGACGCCTGGATGCGCGGCGTGACCCTTGTCGGCGGCCACACGATCGCAGCAGAGACATTTAGGCCTGCCGCGCAGTCAGAAAGCAGTCGTGGAAAAAGAGTCATCCACGTCGGTCGCCGCAACCAGATGCGTCTTTTGCGCAGAGGCCTGGGCACCGTCCACAGCTCGTCTTTGGGACACGCTTGATGCTTCAACGAACATTCCGATGTGAAACAGAAATGGTGAGTGCTTGCCTGCTTGAGCCTGACGTTACACCGTCTTGTGAGCACACAAGTCTAGAGGAAGAGCGTCATAGCGGACTCCGGTACCGCACCTTACCGTGCGAGCAGTCCGTAAACGGCATGAAAGCTGTGTGCGAGCTATGAACCTGACTCTGCGCGACACTCTCTCTGCTCTAAGCCCCTTTCATGCAGCTGCCTAGCTGCACCTCGGGCTCAGCATAAGCAAAGGTACGTTCTGCATTGGCCCGAGAGTATAGACTGCCGCATCACCTTGCAGATGGTTGCACCCGCCACACTAGACCTGTCGACCACGATCTCGAGGTTCCATTCCGCTGGGTTCCAGTCAGTGTCGCAAATTCCCAGCAGCAGCTTTCCCCTGAGCCTGCCTGCATGGGAGGAGAATCCGCGGAGAATTTCATGTCCGAGTGCCGAAGCTTGCTACGTACCTCGCTCGCGGTAAGTTCAGAAGCGGCAGCGGGTTGAGCGCGGCGCGCTGGAGAGCTGCAGTCGCGAGTACGTGCGAACCCAGTTCCTGGCTGGACACATAGAGAAAGCCGCGTGATTTAATGTTCGCGATGGTCGAAGTTTGCAATATCGTCGTTAGCTCATCACACCAATCTGCAAAGGGCCCGCGCCCGTGCGGGCATGAAAGCTTCAGAAGAGCAGGAGAAGGTGCAGCGTGGAGTTTTGAGTATTGGCAACAAAGCTTGGACATTCCATTCGCATGATCGATGCGAAAGGAAGCCGGATGATCGCCAGCGCACCGCAAGGCGCTGTTAGACTAGTGAAGGCCTCGACCCGAGCGTTGCGTCTCCCACACACGGCTATCGGGCCATGCAGCTCCGAGGGCTCAAGAGGACAGGAATTTGGTTAGTTATTTGGCGATTGTGCCAATAGTGAATGGGCTCTCGACGTCTCTTCACCCAAGGCTCGAGGACTTCCTTTGCAAGCGGCGATATCAAATTCTCCATTTTAGGAAGTACAATCGTGAGTCAGAATAGATACCAACGAGGCTCGCAAGAGCCTGCCACGGCGCCCCTTGCTGGATGCGAGATAGGCAGACTCTTGCGAAGCATTGCCGTCGCAGCAAATTTTGGATGCTGGGTACTCCCAGTCGCGTATAGCACGGCGAACGACTCCGTCCCGCAAGCGTCGTCCCGCGATATGCTAGGACGCTTTGCCGCCCGCGTGGCCAGCCACTGTCGCACTGTGAAGCAGCCACCGGCGTTGACCTGAAATTGGGACCGTCTCGGCCCCTCTGCTGCCAACGCTCTAGAGGGTCTGCGTTCGGACGTCGCGTCCGGGAAGTCCCCTGGCTGTGAACCGTCGGGAGCATTCTCGACACACGTCGACGAATGTGACTTCTTCGAATGCTGCACCTAGCGTCCTCGTCGAGTTAGCAGCACGCCGCGAGTCGCAACACGAAATCCAACTACACGAGCTGACGAAAAGCATAGAAGAAGAGGATTCGTGATTCAGGAACAGCAACGCGAGAGCACCAAGGATGTTTGTCGAGCAAAAGCTTGGTGGAGCTGGGTGTGGACCGTCATCACTCGTGATTCTTCACATGTCCATTGTTCCACCATTTTCGACCCCGACAATGATGACCCCACCACTCTGATTGAGTTCTCACTCTATTTTGCAACTTCTCCGCTCCTTCAAATGATGTGTGCATTTGTCTTGCCTCATCGAAGCCCGCGCGCTCGCTTGTAAGTCGCTTAGAAGCGAGGTATCCTGCATCTGAACCGCTCACTCGCTAACAGCAGCCTAACATGGATATTGCCTCATCAAAGTCACTGTCGGGGCATGCAATATATCGACGTTGCGGTGCGAGCGGGACGCGCGAATTGCGTCGAGGTTTCATGCCGCACTATCCATGTATATACGTATCGGCATTGATAGTGTGGCGCAAAGCCAAGCTCGCAAGCAGGATATATCGGCAAATAATTTGAATGACGAGCGTGGAAACACGCTTTGATTGAAGGAGGATGTCTCGCTTTGAAAGAGCCTCTGCAGCTTTGGAGTCCCGGGTGAGGTGTTATCCCACCGACCAACTCTTTGAATCTCCGCGCCGTTTTTAGCGCCACATCGAAACTCAGCCAGCAGCATCAGTTCGCAAATGTGAATGGCGAATTACGAATTGCGCAACGGCTCCCAAAGAACGTCAGCTTCTACGTGAGAAATCGTGAAGCACGTGCGGTCACTCCGCCTACCGCAATTTGACACTCGGGTCGTCGTGGGAGCCGAAGTGCCCTCCAGGCGCGATGGCTGATTACGCCTTGCTCACATTGGCTCACACTCACGACTACTCGTAATAGTGCCCTAGTCGCGACTTGCTGTTGTAGCGTGTCACAACGAAACGCAGCCGTTGCTACGCATGCTGGATCCATCCGCTCTTCGCACGAGCGTGCCCCCCTC